AGAAACATTGTCTGAGGGCGAGCATGGGCAAAGAGTCCGGGCTCGAGAATGAGGTCAGTTCTCCCTCAAGAAATTCTACAAACATATGGTGGATGATCCTTCATGTTCCGAAGGGCTCCCAGAGAGAGACGCAAACGGTGCAGGAGAATAAAAGGGCTTACCTAGGGACCTTGCCGTCCCAGAGATCACCGAGAGAGTGAGGAAGAGGACGACGAAGCATAGCAGGGCCGGGGCGGCAGCTTTCGCTGGGAAGCGGCACCTCTCGGCAGAGGAGGGGACCGCCAAATCAGCCATAGCAACGCACGTGCCGCCGAAGGAGACGGAGGAGCTGGCTCACACTGGGAAATGCAACGGAGTATACAGCTCTTTAAAATATATAACGGTGGCGAAGCGGATTTGCAGATACGAAGCGGTTTGGAAATGATTGGGTCCGATCTACCGGCTGGGTTTGGCTAGTTTAGGATCCGGTTTAAATAATCCGAAAAGGAAATAAAACAAATTATTATTAAAAAAATCATATGTGAATATGTGCACTATATCATATAAAAAAAATATGATTTAATAGAAAAATTAAAAATGCCATTAGGCACTACCGGTGATCAGTAGTTTATGCTGACAAAAGCAGTCACTTGACAATGGTGGATGATGACATGATGACAATGATCTACAACAAAGAGAGGATAGTACTATGATAAACCATTCCTAACATAGATTATGACTACATACTGAACTAAAATCAAATCATTTATCATATAAATAAATAAAATATTTTGCATTTATTATCATCAATTTAGGATGGAGTTCAATGTTACAATTAGTTTACGAAAGAAGGTAAACATAATTCCATTTATTTACTATTGGTTGAAATTATACCCTTTTAAAATATGAATTTAAAAGATTTCATTTTTTTGTAATGTGGTATTCACCACTTTCATTGTCTACACTTTTTATTAATTCTCAAATATTGGGATTAATCTTCAATGATATAGATAGATATGTGTATAGAGTACAAAAGTGATAAAATGTATACAATTAATTGTAAAGAAAAAAAAAGTGTCAATGTTAGTTGAGTATTACTTATACAAGAGTGTTAATTGACTTGTTTGGAAAAATTGATGTAGACTAATCTTTTGTACAAGTAGAGGCTCTTGGTCTAAAATGGATAACAATATGAATCAATTCAAAAAGGAAGAGAGTGTTGAGATTTATTCTCAAAATAAGTTTTGTGGTTGAAAAAAAACAATCGATAGAAGAAGGGTCATTTTTGTGTTATTTTGATCAGTGTAGTATTTGTTCCATAAGCAGATAACTTATGCATAAAAGTTTCCCATAAATTTGAGATTGATCAAAAATATTTTAGATAATTTACACATTGGTAAAAAATCTATGACATATGTTATAATCATAAGAAAATGATGATACAGAAAGGAAAAGGAGTGGTATGTGAATGGCTTATTGCTTGAAACCTTATATTTTGAGTGTATTTTTACACAATAGTCCAATGTATCAAGTTTTGTATTTTAATATATAAGGAGCTACCTTGTAGAATAGAGAGGTGTATAAAAATATGGGATTTGATGTTATAGTATATGATAATTATGTTGTTAAATATTATTTATTATGATTAATAATATTATATATATAATTTACATTATGAAACATAAGTTTCAAACATAAGAGCAATAATTGATCAATTTAGTATACAAAGCACAACACATACACATGAAATCTATACTAATATAAGTTATTATATAAATTGAAAATATTACTTAAATCTATGAAATCACATATATTACTTAATGTGTGAAATTTGTAACATAGTATATTATGTGCTTATGCCACCCTTCAGTTCCTGCACAGTCTCATTGGACCTATTGGGGGGTCGGGTGACTTAGTCTTTTCATGGGAATTAAAATTGTGGTAATTTTTGGTTTTAGTCATTATAGGAAAAATGATTTGACTCTTGCAAACAGATCATAATCTAACATTTTTTAATAACTTAGATTTGGCTCTCAACATATTCTAATCTTTTATGAGCTTGTCCCTTGGGTTACGAACATAACTTCAAGGCATTGCCTTGTCTAAACACTACATCAAAGGCTCTAGGTAGACTGATTAGTTTTAGATTCTCAATATTTGAACATTATTGTGTACGTTTAGCACACTTTTAGCAGTAGAAATTTATTAGTAACAACCCTTGTTAATTATAGATGTATGTAAAACCTTATAGATTTGAAGATTTGAAAATCCTTTTTGGGCATACAAATGCAAGTTTCGAATGTAGATGCTTTACAACTCAACATTCCTTGTTTAATTATGAATGCTCTTAGAATATTGAATTTCGAGTTCAAGTTAGTTAAGAATCTGAGCAGTGGTTAATTATTTTATATGGATGTGAATTTTAAATTTTAAGAGCTTAGAACAACCAGAGATTAATCATTCGTAGTTCTTTCAAGTATTACGACTAAATGGTCAATATATTCTGGGCTTTATGATATTCTTTATTTTTTTGTCTTATTATACTTGGGTTATGCATTAACTTTTTTTTCATGGGTTAAATCCCTTTCTTAAACGTATACGAAAAGAGTTGAACAATTTTGCTTTTTCATTACATGCTATCTCAAATTATGGTGAGTTTTTTTTAGCAAACCTTGGTATACAATATCAGTTTTATCATTATGTTCATTTTTATCAACATAAATTATTGATTTAAAAATCAACAAAGACTAAAGCACAATACTATCTTCTTTTAAGTATTTTTCCTAAAAAATGTAGCTCGAAACTTAATCTCCTGAAGAGCTAAGAGTTAATCATCGTTTGGTTTCTCTCTCTTTATTCACTCCCTTTACCTTCATCAATTGATTGCAAATGAGAACAAAGCATCAATGAAGAGTATTAGGAAAGAAAACATAAATAGGCTTCGATTTTTGATAATTATTTCGTTACAGATTGGCTACTCGTGTCAAGATGACTTTAGGAAAATGATGAGCAAAAGAGGAATGAAGCTTTTAGGGATTTTGGCTATGACTCAATAAAATACATCATTGCGTTCTACATCACTGCTGAATAAATAACATGACTGAGGCCAGCAGGTCCATATGATCATTCTTTTCTTCGTCTTTGCCAGTGAAAACCGTCGGGCGGCGGCGGCGCGGGATAAAGCTGAGTCGACCGGGCTACCCGAGAGGCGGCGGGTTGATAATGTACTTGGAGTTCTTGGATGTCGGAGACGGAGGCCCATAATATACTTTCAACACTCGGAAGCTCCCCCTCATCTCTGTCGGAGACGGCTTGTGCTGCGTTGTCTCAGGTGCCCGTCCAACCCCCGTCGAAACTGAAACTCGTTACAGGATGCCTCCGGCCGTTGATCGTTGGCGTTCGAGCTCTCCCGGAGTTGAAGGGGTTCTGGCGCCTCGCCGTTGTAAATTTCTCACTTGTTGACAGGTCAACTCCTTCGAATTTACCCGAGATCAACTAGTACTTGATTATATTGCATCATATTGTGTAATAGATGCCCAGGAGATAGCGCCGTAGGCTTATCATGTATGTGCTTCAAATAATCTTCTCTTTTACTTCTAGTGCTCACCCGCCCCTAAACCGATCCTAACGTGGACCGGAATATGGTCAACTCAAGTTCGAGAATGGGAAGAGATCTCTCTACCTCCCTGTGGGTTCGAATATACGCAATGTCATATTATTGTTTGAAATGGGCGAGCTAACCGGTTCTAAACATTCTCGTCCCTCTCGTGCTATACGACCTGGTTCCTTCATTCTTTCTCCACCGCTACACGAACGGAACTCGGCAGTTTTTATGATCTCCTAAGCTTACGCAAGATTCCTCTCTCTATCTATCTATCTCTCTCTCTCTCTCTCTCTCTCTCTCTCTCTCTCTCTCTCTCTCTCTCTCTCTTTCTCTCTCTCTCTCTCTCTCTCTCTCTCTATCTATCTCTCTTCCTCTCTCTCTCTCGGGTATCACTAGATAGTTGTAATTATCGTGGGACTGCAACATCAATATTTATCGAGTGCGGACGAGTTAAAGCGTCCATGGATCACAAGGCAAAAAATCAGTATGACATTGAACCTATAGCGTGTGAGAACTCTTCCCTTTTTGTTTAAATCAATACTTAACCCAATGACTAGCCTACCCAATATATTAATTTTGCGATTACCATCACAGTATCTATGGCATCTAATCCATCAACGAGATCATATGAAAGTCCTCGGATGACCCAAAATCATATATTTATATATATATATATATTGATATTGGTTGGAATTATGGGGGGTGGAGAGCAGGAATCCGATTTTCTCAGGAAGCAATATAATGTATAAATCATAAGTATACAATTTCACATCAAAAAAGTCGTATCAAGAAAATATGGTCGCCACGGGCCCGACAGGCCCGGGCCCGGCCCTGGAAAAGCTCGAACATGCGGTCAACGAGGTGCTCGGAAGGGACACCATTAATGGGCCCACCTGGGATTCCATCCAATCGAGGAACCCTATTGGTTGTCCTGGGGAATCATGATCTGACGTTTCAATGTTGCCGTCTGATCTTGCTTTGATTCCCGGGGCTGTCCGAAAGCTTCGGTGACCTCAGACGTACGCACGCCGGCGGAGGAAAAAGCTGGTACCTTTATGGGTAATCCGCGGAAAGAGGTCTCACAAGCAGGTGATGTGCGTTGGGTTTCGTATACCCACGGAAAACTGTGCCTATTACGACAAAGAGAGAGAGAGAGAGAGAGAGAGAGAGAGAGAGAGAGAGAGAGAGAAGGTCAAACCATTCTAAGCTAGGAGCTGGACTGGACAGAGAGCGAGCCCGGCTATGGGGTTACCTACCCGTCGACCTAAAGGCTCGAGTATCAAGTATGGGGCTTCTACTATATGTAGTCTTTTATGGAGTCCACACCGGTAACATATTGCAATTTTTTCTTTATGTAGAATTGGTATGTAATAATGTCGGTAGGTAACAGCAGAGAAAGAAAATAGACAGACGAGATCTAGGGTTTATCTTTACCCGAGTCCTTGGTTCCTGCCCTCTTCCCGTATATCAAGCCGGTCTCCTGGAAAACAGGGCAAATGGATGAGGCACGGCCATACTCAATCATTTGAGAGAGAGAGAGAGAGAGAGGCTAACGTGTGTGGGTGCTGGGACAGTTACCTGAGGGTCGGGAATGGGCTTTCTCTTCTCAACATAAGCATAGGGATCTGAGGCTGCAGCTAGGGCTGCTTTCCGCTGCAAAATTAAATAAAAAATAGTAAGTAGACCCACATCATAAAGTTCAATAACAAATCCCTATGAATCATGACGTTGTTCAGCATCAAGGCCAGACCTAACCTTGCCTGGTCTGAGAGCATTTTTGAGCATAGTCAGTAATTTATGAACCAGTTAACGAAGAGGATACAACTTTGGGTTGGGCAGCTCTAGCGACTTCATCTTATGCTGGGCTCAAACAGGCAGGCAAATTTGATGCTGGATCAGATCATGCATACGTTGCTATGTATCATTCATTCCATTGTTTTCCATTTCTTCTATTCTTGACAGTCTATATGAAACCCTCCCAGTCACTAGAATATATATTTTTTCTTCTTTCCCTTGTTGGGTCTCCATATCACCCCCCTCAAAGGCAGATTTATTGTGCTATTTTTCACCTTTTGTATTCTTTTTAGTTTCTCACCAACTAATACCAAGATTATAGGAAAAATTTAACCAGTATGAGAAACTTCAAAGGTCTGAGCCCAGGCCGGCCAACTGAGACCTCAAAGATTCAAGCATATATATCTATATATCTATATATATATATATATATGTGCACGTATATATATAAGATAATAAAGAGCAAAGCCAATGAAAATCATCTTCTCTTACGTTTTTGTTATCAAGGTCAGGGGCCTATTAGTGGTGACCTTGCTGATGCAACAAGTAGAGAGAACATGATTCCCTTCATTACTGAATAAAGGGTGAACATATGACTGTCCTCTTCTATCCTCTGCTAAGTGACCCTCCACGGGACAAGGAAATTTAATTTTTGGGTTCCCTATTTGAGTTTGGTAATTTAGATTCACCTTTCAATTCACTCTTTGGAACTATTACTGATATGATTATGATATGCACCCTTTCAATGTGATCTATGATCAGTAGATATATAATCTGCCACATATTTCATTCATTCAATGCTGCCTAGTTTTCCAGAAGTTAAAATCCAGCTGTTTCTCTTGACCGCCTTCTAAACTAAATAACTATTCATATATCAAGTCTAGTGAGTGGTAGTTTCACCATTCTGAGGGCTTGGACTAATATAATTATCATATGAGTAAAAAAACCCTTGCAATCTGATTTACTGTGAGTCCATAACAGACCTGCGACGTTTTTTCATTATCACCAGAAATGGACATTGATTAAAGAGATTTTTTAAGGGCCATATTCAAATTTTTTTCTTATATGAACCTCCAGGGTTTCATCAATCTTTTAGCTGTTGAAACGAAATTAGCTTGGTGGTGGCGAAAACTGAAAGAACATATGAGGGAAAGTTGGAGAAGTTACAGAAGACAGAAAAATAAGGCCTGGGCCTATTAAAATAGTTGGAGAAGAGAACTTAAATCCGGGCTAACACTTTAAGATACTAAATTTAAGATAAATCTGAAATAATATCTAAGAAAAATGTGAAATAAGATCACGCGGTATGATCCCAGTGAAAGCCACCAATCTGAACAAACTGGTTATGACCCGTGAATCCTTGAGAAAGTATTCAAATGGAATGATAAAAAACTGGAAGTTTTGATTAAGCATATCACTAGGGAAGCTATGTTACCATCACTAGGGAATTTAGGAATGGAGTTCACGCTGTATAGAACAAGGATAAAGCGTAAGATGAAATGTATGCGCCCAAAAAATAATATGCCCTCCATTTTATTTTAGGAATGGAAGTATGGGCCACATTTCAACTTGCCACAAAATATATGAAGTGATAAAAAAAATGAAACGAATATAGATGAGGAAGTAGATTACTCCGCTGATCAAATGGCACTGAAAATTTTCCATTATTATAGCAAAATACATTGGATTCCAAGGTTTAAGCATATTATGCTCCATAATTTGAATCGAAAATGAATAAATTAGTCATACGACCACGCAGTCCGGTCCAGTTCCCCTGCTCTTCTTTGGAGATACAACGTGGAATTTATTTGAAACAATGATTTCAACGTTATCATATTCATAACAGCATTCAGATCGCATAAAACAACCAATCAGATACAAAATAATCGTAGCACATGAAGAAAAAGGAGGAGAGCAGTACAGGATGAAAGTATCCCCAAGGATATCAAATAATGGATTAAAAGTACCATCACCCAGGCATAATCAGAGAGAATTAACCATTATAATTACCTCCTGCTCCCTCTTGAGATCCCTGGAGGGCTTCACCCAGAGAAAGTAGGCCAGAGTGCCGGCCACGGCCCACGAGGCGAGGTTGGCGCCGCCCCTCAGACCCCCCAGAGAGTTCCCCACGAAGGACCTGACGTTCCCCAGCGTCCGCTTCCAGCTGCTGCTCACCATCTCGCCGATCTTCGCTCCGCCCCCTCGGCCGCATAGAGGAGCCTCCTCTGGGATTCTGTCTTCCTCCCCGCGCTGGTTTCTCAGTTCCATTTCTCGAGCTCTTAACGGGCCGTTTTCTAAACTCTACCCATCGGCCCAATTTCAATGAAGCCACAATGGGCTAAGCTGCAGTTCGGTCTGGGTCAACATGTACCTTATTGGGGTTATGAATAAACCCATTTATAAAAGTAGGACCCGTCCGAGACTGCCGTGCCCAGGCTTCCACTGGGCTTGGTCTGCCGGGCCTATTACTGCCTCTCTCTCTCTCTCTCTCTCTCTCTCTCTCTCTCTCTCTATCCATCCATCTACCAATACGAGTGAGCTATTGGTTTATTCTTCCTCTCTCTCTCTCTCTCTCTATCCATCTATCTATCCACCTATATGTGGGATCTATTATTGCTTATTCATCCTCTCTCTCACTCTATCGACCTATATGAGTGGCACATATTGTGGTTTATTCTTACTCTCTTTGTCACTTTATATAGCTACCTATACAAGTGAGTTATTGTTGTTTATTCTTGTTCTCTCTCTCTCTCTCTCATCTCTCTCTCTCTCTCTAATGTGGATGATAATGATAATGTGAGAGAGATCTAATAAACATTGTAAAAATCACAAATAACATCATAAACTCAAGAAGAAGAGATCCATAAAAGATTTAGAATCATTCACAATTAGAAAAGTAGAACTAAGATTTTACAATTTAAGTAAATCGTCAAATATAGCAAATCTACCTTAATATGAGGTATGATCATTCAGTGTGGAATAAGTAATGATCAAATAGAGATTTCTTGATGAAAATGACAAGGATAATATATTTTAAGGGAAAATGATACAAGGCTTAAGATGCAAGAAAATTAGTCATATAAATAAGTCACTTGAGAAAATTAGTGGGTTGATCATGACTATTGACTTGATAGTGACAGTTGACCAAGTTACTAGATGGACTAGTTTGCTAGTTATTGGTCAAGCTATGAGGCTAAGGTTAGATAGGGTCTCAAGAATAGGTTGCTAGAAAGAATAAGCCCAAACCATAGTTCAACAGGATTTACTCATAATCAGTTTGTGGGTGCGGAGAGCAGTGACATACTTAAAGATAGGTGGGTGAGGATGATAATAGTTCGGTAACACATATGATGAAGCCGTTGGGACAAAAGGCAGATGGGGGCAGCTGATAGTGAGGGTGAAGGAGTGAGATTAAGGATGTAGAGGCTAAAGTGATGTTGACAGAAACTTGAAGGTGTAGTGGTGATGATGGAGTCGATGGTGAAATGATAGAGCTATTTATCAAGAAGAGTAAGGTTCTCATGACCAACCTAACTAGGATGATGGGTCTTTGTGATCAACTCAACTAAGGTGTTGAGGTCTTCACAATCAACTATGGGCAGTGTAGCCACAATGAAGGAAATTTCATTTCTAAAAATCAAAGTTTCTACCTCTAGGGTAAAGAGACATACTTTATATAGGCCTCACATATGAAACAACAAAATAAGTAAGTAATAATAAAGCTCACTAATAATAAAGAAAATCTTAATATTCTAATTGAGTCCATTGACATTGAGATATATGGAGGAATTCTAGGTCCAACTCTACTTGGGTTAAACTTGAGTTACATGTCGAACTTACTATGTTTGGATTTGACCCTCATCTTGCATCAATTCTCTTTTAATTTGGAGAACTCCACTATATCAAGTGAATGATGGAATTGATACTATAGTGTTCTTACTCACCAAGATCAAGCTGTCAAATATCTTCCTTTGTGATCTATAAATTATCTGATAGTGGGTGATCTTTTTAATGAATTAGAAGTCTCTATTACTCTCTAATGTTAGTAAAGATCACCTACTAATCTAATATATCCTCTACTTATTTATGTTGCATAAGAAAGATGGCTGCTAAACAATTAATTATAGTGTCACTTAAAGATGTGATATTAAACTCAAATATCTCATTAGGTACATTAAGTGATCAATGATAAACAACAAGATTTGAAATATTAAAAATGAAGTTAATCCTTAATTTTGATGAAAAGTCTAAATTTTAGAATTTTTAATAGACCTATCCCATGAATTTGAAGTTTAGATGCGGTCCTTGATACAAATCATCTAAGATGTATGCAAGTCATTGTAAGATCTCTTCAAATTTTTTTGAAGGATTTATGAAAATCTTCTAAAAATTTATAAGACTCATCACTAATGTTAATGTGATGATGACATGTACTATGATTAACTAATCTATCATATGTAAATTCAACACAATGAAATATCATATATCATAAGCCATTAGAGGTTATCATACTAAATATCATTATAGGTTCTGAAACTCTTATTAATGACTTATGTTGTTCATCAATTTAAAGATGAGAGAAGTAAATTAATATTTTAATTTAGTCTCCATCTTGTGCTAAAGAATCTTCCAAAGATTACTTATAAATCAAACACTCTTATTAGAGGTAATAATCTATGACAACCAATGTAATTTAAAAGTCTCATAAAAAAGTGTTTAAAATAAGTTATCTTTTGAGTAACAAATAAAATGAGTCACCCTATAAAATCAATCAACTATAATAAAAAAATAGAGATACTTATCTATATTACATCTCGATCATATAATCATCGACATTCTAAGATAATACTATCAACCTCTATCAAAGTATGTCATCAAATGACTTCCTTATAGAAATTAATCTTGAGAGAGACCAAACACTTATTGTGTATATGAATGTGTGCAGAGTTTACCCATGATACCTTATTTGGCTAAGGTGGTTAGTCGTGGTTAATCTTAATTTGGTAATGATGTCTTAAGATATGTCATTAATATTACTTATATTATTTATAATGAGTTTACAAATATTCAACTTAAGTTTGATAAAAGTTTAAAAGATAATTGTATACTTATAGTACTTTTCTCTAATTGACTACATCAATATATATGTCATGATTCTTAGGTTCAATTCTTCAATAAATGTATAGACTAACTTGGGATTATGAATGAATACTTTTTCTTCTAATTTATTATTTTGGATTAATATATTTTCAATTAGATATTTGATAAAGATAAACTAATCAATGAAAAAGTTACGAGTGAGACATTGACTTGTCACGTGACAATATCCATAACACTTCTAACAACTCACTTTAAAGGTACTCTAATGAGGTCCTCACCTTCTCAACTATACCACGTATGCAATGAAGTTGACTATTACCCAACCTCAATAATCATCTAAGAGCTGAAGTAGTAAGGAGATGAAATTATTCAAGAACGAATTAAAAGGTGATTGATCCTATTCTAGAGTATGGAGTTTATAACCTTTTGTGGGACAAATGAGAAAGGTAAGAAGAAAGTATAATCTTATATGTTCTAAAGGTTAATAGAGTTTCACCTACTTTAATAGTGGTATTAAATTTAACTTATCCTAATTTCACCCTCTTTGTTCTCATGTGCTTTATCTTTACCTTACTCACTTCTCCTTTTACCTTTTGACTACTCCAAGTCTTATCATATTAGTATCAATGCTAATAAGACTGAATCATGTTACAACAACTAACAACAACTTTCTACTAACTCACCTCAACCTTTATGGATGTCCTTCAGACCTAGGCCCTTGCACTGTAATATCATCACTCTCTATATAGGCCTAGTAGAGATGATTATTTAAGAAAGTATCCATCTCACTTACCTCTATTATTTTTACGATAGCCAAAGTTGATTCACTCCCCATCTCATAACAACCAATGGGAAAATTGATACATTTAGTGATCATGGCATCTACATCCTCTTACATTAGACCACCTCACAACTCAATGACCCCTCTATTAGATCATATATGAGAAGAGCAAGATCCTCAAGTTCGTCTTTAATGTTCATAATTCATCAATCTTTAATGTTGACCCTAACACGTGGGTCATCAAGAGCCTTTGGCATACTATCAAACATTTATAACCAGGTCCTCACACAAGTGCCTCACCAATCATTCTTCTTGGCTCATATATCAGGTTTTTTTACACTACCCATACAACAATCAACTCCGACCATCACTAGATGTTCATGACTATTTATGTAGAGTGTATTCAACCCCCAAGGAGTGACTATCTATTGGAACTATAGCCACTAGAAATAGGTGAGTGGACATCGATAATGAAAGGAGTCTATCACCCCAATGTCCCTTAAATAAAGATTAAAAGGCAAGATTGAGCAAAGCACTGGCTTTGTCTCACCATTAGTGGCACTGCCATCCCCCACTAAAGTCCTAACATATTACTTGAATCAATCTTTTTCCTTGGCAGCCCCCTTGTAATAAAGCTTCTATTATATTACTCAACAACTTAAAGAGCACTCTTTTACCTTGTGGATGATACAAAGAATTAAGGAGAAGTATTGTATTGATGAGATATTTATCTTATTAATTACACCACGTAGATGATGGAGTTGACCATTGTCTACTTCAATTGTCACTCAACCTCAATCATCGCTCAAGGATTGAAGCATCAAGAAGACGAGATGGTTTAAGAATATATCAAAAGGTGGATTGATCCTATTTTAAGTTAGAAAACTTATAAATTATCTTGTGGGGCTAAATGAAAAGGGAGAAAAGAAGTATGGAGTCATATCCGTTCTAAGGGTAACAAAGTCTCACCTACTCTAAAGGTGGTATTAAATTTAACCTCGCTCTAAGGTTGTTATATCTCTTTATTATTTTTCCTTCTTTGTTCTCTTATGTCCTAACTTCACCTTATTCACTTCTTTTTATGCTCTTTGACCACACCCGAGTCTTATCATATTTCCTTGTAATTCGTCTACTAGTCATCTACCCTTGTTAGGTACTTTCATGTTGGGAGGTCTTAGAAGAGCCTTATCAATGGTAAGGCTCCCACACCCCTATGATCAAGTCTAACATTCTTTGTGGTGTAAGTTAAAAATCAGGTAGGTTGTGTATGTTAGGGGCACGTGTAAATTAAAAATCAAGTCTAAAGTTTTCTGAACTCAAACATCTCATACCACCCTTTCAATCTAAATAGTCTTTAAGATTTTTTGAACCCTCAAATATAGAGACATCGACCGCAACATATTTGTATTAAGTGTCATGATCAGGAGGGTAATGAAATCTAGTATGTCTATATTTTTTATTCTTAGGAAAATGTTGAGTGTCATGGTCATAAACATCATCCTTAAGAAGCATTGAATGTTCTAATCAAGAGGGTCATCATTAAATCTAATATGTTGATGATATTTGTTTTTAAGAGAGTTGGGTGTCATGATCAAGAGGGTCATCATGGAAGCTAGTCCATCAATGATAATCATCTATGAGACAATATTATATTTTATGTTAGTTAAAAGGGGAAGATGGTCATCGATCAAAATGTATCTAATTCTCACTTAGCCTCCAACTTGGTCAATCTACAATCTATACAATCTCACAAATCATCTTAGCCTATTCATCATTTTTTTTGTTCATGGGAAACTCATCCTCTATGTTGTAGTGATCTTCTTTGACAAAGTTAAGTTACCTAAGCTTAGTAGACATGTAATTATAGATATATTCCCTAATCTAGTAGGTATATGATGGGGTATGTATATCCCATCCTAAGAGACGAATGATGCATAAATGTATGTATAACCCTACAATGTAATGTATGCTTTGATACAAAAAATGATGCAAATGTTAAAGATGATGTGGGAGAGATCTAATAAATATTATATAAACCACAAATAATATTTAAATCTCAAGAATGAGAGATCTGAAAAAAAAGACTCAAAATCATAAATAGTAATAAAAAATAAAACTAAAATCATGTGGTTTAGGTAAACCCCCAAATGCAAGGTGTTCAAAATCTATATAAAAAATCTGACGTAACACAAGATATGATCACTCAATGTGAAATCAGTGATTGTTTGATAAAAATTTTTCAACGACAATCACAAGAAGAATATATTAAAGAAATAAAGAACACTATGCATCAGATGTGAGAGAACTAATTGTGAAAAAGTATCACCTAAGAAACTCTAGTTGTAGAGGATTGATTGTGACCATTGACTTGGTGGTGACTATTGACCATTGACTTGGACATTGGATGGACCAGCTTGCTAGCCAAGTAGTTGAGGCTGGATTAGGGCCTTGAGAATTAGCCATTGAATAATATCGGCCCAAATCATGATTAAGATAGAAAGGTAAAAATGACAACAATCATACAGCACATGCAACAAAGGCATGGGGCGGAAGATAGAAATATAACAAACTATTCGGGTGAAGAATACAGAGGCTAAGGTGATAACAACAGCAACAATAAAGACATACAATTGAAACATTGGCAGTGGTGGTAAATTTGAGATGGAAGAATAAATCATAGAAGGCCAAGGTAGAACATGTAGCTGTAGTGGCAGCGATGAAAAGAGTCAGTGACAATGGAGGCAAAAGCAGTAGAGGTAGCAAAATGGTAGAGCTCCTAAATGAGAGTGGTTGGGTCCTCATGATCAACCCTATCAAGATGTTGGGGTCTTCACAACTAACTATAGGCAACAAAGCCACAATGAAGGAAATCCTATTTTTCAAAATAAAAGCTTCTGGCTCTAAGGTGAAGGGACATGTCTTATATAGGCGTCACATGTGATATAACAAAATAGACAAGTAGGGATGGAGCCCACTAATAACAAAATAAAATTTTAAATTCTATGTGGGTTTGTGATATGTGGTGGAATTTTGTGTCCAATTCTACATGTACTGAATTCAAGTCACATGTTGGGCCCATTATGTCCAGATTAGACCCCCGTCATCTCTCTCTCTCTCTCACTCACTCACTCACTCTATCCGTCTATCTACCTATATGCGTGAGCTATTATGGTTTACTCTTCCTCTCTCCCATGCCTATCTCTCTCTCTCTCTATTTATTTATCTATCTATCCGTCTACTATATGTGTTATTATAATTTATTCTCTCTCTCTCTCTCTCTCGCTATTTATCTATCTCTCCATCAATCTATCTACTTATACGAGCTATTATGATTTATTCTCTCTCTCTCGCTCTCTCGCTCTTCTCACTAGGGGTTTGGCCTGGAGACAGTCTTTGATTTTCTTGACGATGGGCCTTAGCCAGTCGGCTGATTCATACGACAACAAAAAGATGACGTTGACAAATGACAGGGCGACACGTGGAAGGGATTACAAAAGTATATAGTCTAATACGAATTAAACTGAAGAATGACGTGGATTTCCCTCGAGGAGGTTCTGAAATTGAAAAGTCAACAGGCACTAAAAGCTTCTACAAAAATGATTACTCCGCGTTCATTTTATTTCCCGAAGAGGAAACAAAAGCCACTTGCCTCCTCTCCTCAGGAGTCAGAACAGAGAGGCTCGGCCGGTCAACCACGGCGAGACTACTCCATAAATTAGTAGCTTATTTCCGCTGAAGAAGGAAAATAAGAAAAGCCTGGGCCTTAATCCGGCTCATCGATTCGGGAGGATTTCGGATTTTTGCGGGCGGAACTCACAGAGGGGCGTGGGCGTGGCTGCCGTAGGAGGGAGATGACATAACGGAGAGGATGTCCGTGACGGAGGCCATGGCGCTGAGGGCCGCCTTCAGCACGTCCTGTGAGCACCCGGGCTTCACGATGCTCTTCACCTGACGACACAGAGAGAGTAAGAATCAAACCATAATACCTAGCTCTCACTCGTGATAGAAAGATAGATTGAGATCGATGTATATATATATATATATATATAGAGAGAGAGAGAGAGAGAGAGAGGGGAGGTCCTGGTCAAGACCCATGAAAGCCTTGACAAGGTAGAGAGAGAAGAGAGGAGAGAGAGAGAGAGAGGTCCTGGCCAGAACCATGAAAGCCTTGACAAGGTGGAGACAGCTCATGGGAATGGTGGGGCGGACTTCAGGGCTTGGAGGAGAAGGTTGGGAGAATACCTTGTCGAGGTAGTCCTGGAGCTTCTTGATCCGGCCCATGTAGTCTTGGTCTTCCACAGAGAGGGTTATGGTCTTCGAGTCGGATCCCGGGCCTTCGAACTGGAGTGGGCCCGGGTTTCTGTAGATATCCTCCATCAAGAATTTCGCCGCATTCTGCCTCAGCAACCTAGATTTATATTCATGCATACATATATCAATGATTTCATCAAAGCTATCAAACCCATATTTTTCCTAGTTTTTGTGATAGGAACAAATGTGATCATACGACCAAAAGTTCATATTTTTCCAAGATTTTGATTTCGATATTACATCATTAGAAGCTCAGATAAGATGTTGGAGGCAAATGTCAGATCATAGACTCCATATTTTCCCATGATTTTCATGCAAAAATCAGATCATCAACATCTGCTCCAAGGTGTACAAGGCAGATGTCAGAACAAAAATCCGAAATTTTCTATCATTCTGATGAACATACATATTTTCCCTAGCTTTGAATGCCGGAGTCAAATCATTTATAGCTTAAGTAAGATATTTGAGGCAAACATCAGAACATCGACCCATATTTTTCCAATATTTTGATGCCAGGATTTGATCATGAACAGCTCAACTAATGTACTCGAGGCATATTTTCCGAGATTTTGATGTGGGAATCATATAAGTAATAGCTTAGGTAAGGTATGGAAGGCTAATATCAGACTCGTTGTCTCAATCAGAGCATCTGGTCAACCATGGTATTTAAGGTAAATGTCAGAAAAAAACTTTATTTTTCCAAGATTTTGATCCCAGAATCAGATAATTAATAGCTCGATGAAGATATTTAAGGCAAATAGACATACCCATAAGCCTTCCCTTTCAGGTCAACTGTGGCAGGATGAACAGCAGGCTTACCGATGGAGCTCGACCCCTGACCCCGTGCCCACTGCTTCACAGTCATCATGGCCTATTGAGAACAAATCACCATGCTCATATCAGAAAACTTGCAGATAATTTCTCACTCTGAAAATTTTCAGGTCGATGTTCTCCCTCTCTCTCTTATATGTTGAGAGAGAGAGATTTTCCATATGGATCTTATGGACCCAGATGACCTGGGGAAGAGGGGTTGGAGGATGGAGAGGGAGACGAAGAGAGCATCACTGTTATGGGAGTGGCCCCGCATCGCCACTTGTTCACGGGGTTCTTCAAATTGGTGATGGTCGCCATGTATCCGTTCAACCCGGCAGCTAGGATATGGTAGCAGATGTGCCCGAGGACCTGGACCAAAGAAAAAAAATTGCCTTAAGAAGAAATCTTATATGAAGATATGAGAGAGAGAGAGAGAGAGAGAGAGAGAGAGAGAGAGAGAGAGAGAGAGTACATAAGCATAGTCGCAGTCAAACTTTGAAGGGAGAGACCCACGGGCCTGGTAGCCGAAGAAGTGGCAAATTGCATTGAACTTCTTTCCCTTGTAAGTGCCCTCCTTCTGCAAAGACCACAGGAATAGTGACACTCCCAGATCAGAAAAAATTCAGGTATGAGCCCAAGCTGATCCTATTCACTAGAGCGAGCGAGCAAGCGAGAGAGAGAGAGAGAGAGAGGCTGGCTAACAATTCTTCATTCTGCAAACAAAGCTCCTCTGTCATGTTGGATAGTATGAGATCATAAAATAAACCAATGAACATTTTTTCATCTTTAATTGCATTAAATATGTGCCAAAGAGGCTTTTTTCCTTCCTATATTGCATTAAATTTTTTTCCGATAAAGTGGTTATTTCCCTTTTTTTAGCCACATACCACTTCACTAACAGATCTTTGATCGATACTACCATACATTTTATACAACCTATAGTCCCTATTCTGGGAAATTCAGTAAAATAATCTGAAAGACGAACTCACCAGCCGCTTGTTGATTTCCGTTTCCACCAACTGGGCCAAGAGCTTCTCCATCTCAATCTACAGATAAAACCAGAAATAAAAGAATTATTAGCCAAGAACAGAACACAGATATCCACAGAAACGGCCATAAAACTGCAGAACCTGGGATAACTGGGCAGAGTCGTCTGATTCCGGATGGAGCAGCAGCTGAACAACAAGGAACGGAAGAAACCCTTCAGATTTATTTAAAATGGAATCATAGAGAACAAGGGTCTTGGAAAGATAATGGACGAAGGTGGGCAAAAACCTGTCTTCTGATGAAAGGGGGGAGGAACTCAAATAGAGCAGACGCCCAAGGAGAAAGCTGGGAGGAGATTTTTTCCGCAGAAACACCTTGTTTGTGTAGACTGTGGATTTCCTACAGCCATTCAATCACCGAAAATCATGAATATAAAATTAGGGTTGAGTGGATTATGAAAGAGATGAAGCAGGTGGAAAGGACGATGACCAGTGGATCACCTGAAGCAGAGCATACAGCTCAGGAATGCTTTCCACTAGACCCTCGGGTATAAGGACGACCCCATGATATTTGTCTGCTCATCAGTCGCAAATAATCCAGGTCAAGAGACAAGCAGTGAAAGGTTTTTTATTTTATTTTTGAAATATGTCAATACTCAACCCTGTTCGGCCCTGGCTTGGACAGCATCGCAAATCTGCTTGGTGATGTCAAAAATAGTAAGTTTTGATGCAGCTACCTCCTCGCCCAGGATGACCTGATCAAATCCCATGACAAATGAAGAAAGAAAAACAAGGAAATATGGACCATAATGGGATGAAACGGGAGAAATTGAACCATATTTGGGTGCGACTGAAGAGTGCATTCCAGCGCCACATGGGATGCTTTTCGGCCCATCAGTCGAATAAAGTAATAGTACTGTGAGAAGAAGGAAACACCATTGCATCAATGCCCAGAAATTCAGAAAAAAAAAAAGAAGAAGAAGCCAAATTAAGTATTGTGATCTGACACAAATCCAGAAAAAATGTCATAAACTATAGGGGATATTTTATGAGCACAATTTAATATATAATATTGAAAGAAAAACTAGAAATTGAAGGAAATTGGATATCTCAAGTTCACAGTCAAACTGATACTGTGAACGTCTAAAAACAAATGTCAACAACCAGTGGAAATGGATGATACCTTTTCTGCTGAGAGAGCATCAACGCAGACATTGCTGATGAGCTGGGAATTAATCTGAGGTTGTAAAAATATTAAAAAGATTCAGTTTCTCTAGCAATATTAGCGCTGAAGCATTACTCACTGATCACTGTAATTTTGTTACAAGAAGCTTCTTGTCGTAACAAAAAAAATTCAATCCATTTCACCTGTAAGTACATTAAATTACGCAGGATGAAAACCTCTGCAGCTATACCTTCTGGAAGGATTATCCTAGGAAGCTAACTTATTTTATTTTCTAAAATATGCAAAATAAATAACTACAAAAGTGACAAATCTATGAATAATTCTGACATTGTAAAAAAAACGTTTGAGAATATAATTAAGTATAAAGAACACATTGTATGTGAATTTTGATGATTTTTTTGAGCTGTAAAGTTAATCTCTCTAACGATTAGTCATTTGAATGCATAAAGGCTTCATTCTCCAGCTTAACTTAAGACGCGTTGTATGAGGTTTTCTAAAGAAGCAGGGAAAATTTGCAAAGAAAATCCTATTCAGTACATCAGTTGATGGAAAAAGTACAAATGTAATCATGTACGCACCTTACATACTGTATCAAAGCCAACATTGGCCTCCACAAACTGATTCTTCAAATCTCCATTCAAAGTAACAGGAACCCCCACTACCTGTTGACAGAACATTTCTGAGAGAATGAGATGAACTCAAATAGCCAAATATTAGAAATAAGGTACAAGAAAATCTGCCTTAATGTAAATCCATAAATTCGAGATTTCACTATCACAAGAGGGCTTTCGTCCCAATATATTCTTGTAACAAGAAACTTGCAAACTATGCATTTGAGACTTTGATCATCCTACCCAAGAATGGTCAACTAATTAGCCCTTCTTCTGTGTTTACCTCAATAAGAAAGCAGGAGAAGGCAAGAGAGTTTCTATTTTGTCTGCTATCTCCCCTCCTATAGCCCGTGTGTCAGAGCATTAGAGGAAGAAAGGCTGAAGCAAGGAAGGATAAAGGATTATAACCTGCATTCTGTCACGCCTTTGCCTCTTCTCTCAGTTATCTATACTATTTTTTTTACATTGCGCGTACCCTACTATCTTAATAGATTTTGCTTCTGACTGGTTTTCTATTAAATCTACAAACGGAGAAATTTTGAGTTGAGAAAAAACGCAGAGGATCAGGGCCATATCTATTTAGAAAGCTTCTTGATTTAGCGTCAAAATAAAAATTGGGTCTTTACAGAGATGGGCTGACCCAGTGAATATCCCTATGAGGGTCATTGCTCTTCCCTAGCAGAAAGATCAGCAATGTCTTTCGGGACTTCCAAAGTTGCTACCACACTGCATGTTCTTGACTTCTCTTTCTTTCGAGTTTAACATATCCGTAGTCATTTTGTTTCCTTTAGATCAGCAATAACTACAAAAGTGCACCCTAGCAGTTTATTTGGTTATTAAAGAGTATGTGAACGTAAACTTTCAACCATCCATCTTTTTGTTCATGAAGATGCAAACTAAATTGTAGTCTACCAATAGTATAATTAAAGACAGATGAATTATTTTTTGAACTTCAGAGCCTCCAGATCTCTCCTCATTCATCCCACGGATGTTGAAAAATGTTCAACTAGGAATATGAGCAAAAAAGAGGTGTTTTAGTTCAGACATTATTTTAAAAAATAAGAAGAAGAAAGGATGGGAAGGTTTTTTAGATACCTTCGTTGAACATCCTGCTACAGCAAACGTTTCTGCAAGCTGAGCAGCATCGGTGTTGGAAGTAACTCCTACAAATGCAGAAGTCAATAAACTAAAAAAATAAATATAGCAGAAAAAAAATTGGTCAGTGAAGTACCTCCAATGATAACAAGCCCATCAAGCTGTAAAGTTTGACAAGTTTTCAGCGCAGCATTTACTTGCTCAGTGGTTCTTATTTGATCTTTTGTCCGTCCCAGCATATCGTAACCACCTTTGATAACATTAAACGGCACTTAAGATCCAGATTAAAGAAAAATCCAATTCATCTTTACAAATTTTAAAAATTAAAAGCCAGACTGCTTCCTGGAACCTTGATTTTTGTAGGCAGAAAGAATCTCATTGGTGACTTCTAGAGTTTTCTGGGCAAATAGACCTTCAGTCCCACCTGTTGTCAAAAAAGGACCATCAGACAGAACTGTGCATTTATTTTTTATTTTCTCACGATACTTCACAATGAAAAATTAGGCATGGTGTGGTCGAAATTTACCATGAGAAACAGCATTACGAACATGAAATATTTTTATCTTTTAAGGATAATCAAATAGCCTCTAGTAGATCTTTAATGAATCACTTTCATATTTGTATCATTAACATCGAAGCAATGTCCTATTCATTATATTTTAATTTTATAACATATAAAATAAGGCATATTATTATTATTTAACTAAAATAAACAGGTACATATTAACAATAAAAGTATATGGAGAAAAATGGAAGATCAAGATCGAAATGAAACAGACAACAAAACAATATGTAAACATAAAAAATCATGCTCCTGAAAAACAACTCTCTCATAATGGAATCTTATATTTCCTAACCGACTTTCCAGAGGTAGTAGAGGATAAGAAATTAGAACCGTTTCAGAATAACTTGAACCTCCCACAAAAAAGGAAGTATATAATTCCTAAATAGAAGACAAGCCAATACTTCATCAAATAACAATAATAAGAATCACATTCTATGGATTAAAAAATTGATGAGCACCAGAAAACACTAGGAAGAGGGAAAAAACAGCTAATGATGATAAGGAAAATTGAAAACGAATACTTACCAACAAATCCAATCAAGGTACTTTTAGGATTGTGAAGTTTAATGGTGTCATAAAGGCCCCATATAACATTATGTCCGCCAGGAGATTGCCTACCACAAAACACCACGCCCACCCTGCAATTTGAAACGCTGACAATGAGAAGATTATTGAGGAAAAACGCAGCACCATTATTTATTATGTCCTTTCCTGTGTGGAAAGTTTTGCTACTTCATCAGCTTCATAAATTGAGAACTACACAATGATTCAAGAAGTAATTAAAACTCTAGCTTTTTCATTTTTCCAGTACACCCTTGAAAATATTTATGAAATGTATTTCTTGTCTAGCACTAACGTTATCAATCACAGAATCACTGATATGGGTATCAATAATATGGGCTTGCATGGATCGATATTTGATTGGACTATTTAAATCATTTGATCCAAGAATAAAAGCCAATTAAATTTATTTTAAATTTGATGGAGCTAATGTAATATATTTCTGTTTATGTCCGTCTTTTTCTTCTATTTTATAGTTCCTAACCACCCTCTTCTTCCTCCGCTGGCTTGTTCCCTGCAGTATTTTCCTTTTTCTTCTTTTATGGCTCTTACTCCAGCAACAGCAAAGACCACAGACTACCCAGTCAATTGCAGTGAGATAAGCAGTCTTTTTTATTTTATATACCAATCAAGCCAGTTGGCTTCTCCCCCTTAAAATTGAACCAGTGCCCAAAAATTCTGATCCAAATCAGTTGATTCCATAAACCATGGGTACTTTGAACCACATAAAAAAAGATAAATAAATAAATTTTAGTCAAAATCTAATACAATGATTTTGGTCTTTTATACCGTACAAAAAAATTTGTGTCTCACCAGATTCATTGCCACTTACTTCATTACTGGGTGCTCTGTAATGATCTGAGCGTCAGGTATCTTGGCCGTTGCCCTGAGAAAGTGTGCCAAACGTTGGCCGTATGTATGTGGAAATGAATGGCTGATGACATGATTACTGGCTGGATCTGCAGTTGTCGTAAAGTCACCAAACTCTACCCGGACTGTCGTACCCTGGTCACATTATAAAAATATACAATATAGTATCTAAAAGAAGAACGAAATACTATTAAATGCTGCTGGTATGTGTGTGGAAAGGCATTTTCAGTTTTCTTCGTCTATTTGAATTGTAATTCTTTTATCGACAATTGAGATACAGTTCTGTTCCACACAAGGAACAAAGAGGATGAAGCAGGCCAGTTGTGGAGATTTTCCATATTTCGGTCAGGACAAGAGCCTCAGTAGCAACCACCACTAAGAGAAACTATCTTTTCAACCTACAGGAAGCGCATGTGCGATTTCCTATTAAGCCCCACTACCGCAGATCAAGCTCGATCACCCAACATTGACTTAATTCTTCGACACACTGTCCTAGCTGATCAGTTTGAATGACAACAGAAATCCATTTGACATTTCGTTTTAGCTGATAGAACTCGACCAATCAACTACGCGCATCCATTTGTAATTAAAAAAAACCACAAAGTGATACATTTGTCTCGCAGAAAATATAAAAGACCATCCACAATGTAAAAAGTTCTCTTAAATCTCACAACAATACACTGGATTTTAGTTTAAGTGGTTCATATCACCGCTCGCGTAATCCTCTCGTGAAAACCAAGCCACAGTAACGCAAAAACCTATCTTTGTCACTATCTCCACAGTGACCAAAAAGGTGGACGTTTAAGAAACCAAGCAAAGCCATCCATAACTCGACCAACCTACAAACGCCCGATCCGACGCTGAGCCATCATCAGATCCGCAGCTTGCGTCAAAAAATATGTGTTGAGCGAAGTACACTGCGAGCTCCTCTAAGGCCGAGGCGAACCCTACCGGCTTGAAAGATTCCGAGAGTAGACAGAGAAACGGAGAGGAAGAAACCGAGAGAAGCCGAGAGAAGCAGCATAAGAAGCACCTGGAGGCATGGGGGGAGCCCTGGCTGGTACTCGGCTCTCTTCTTCTGCAGATCTGACAGCTCTCCGGGGACGCCGAAATCCGACTCCATCTTCCTCCGAACTCGCCGTTCTCTCTCTACCCGCTCTTCTCCGGCGAGTCCATTTGAAGGCGATGGATCCCGGCCACCTGAGGGATTTACGTCCCAACAAAAACCCTCAAATTAAAAATTTATTACTAAAAATGCCACCCAACGGCCAGTCCCATCCCCGTGGATTACGGAGCTTTCCGGTTACAAACCTTTCCCGCTCGGTTTTTCTCCACCATCACTCGCGGTGAACTAAAGATTTATTTCACCAACCATGGAATCTGCTAGCAGCCGCGGACAGCCGGCACTGTCTTCGGGAGGTGGGCATACTGATTGCTAAATCTCCGTCGCGTCTCGTTGACCATCCCACTTAGAAGATCTTCCTGGGCTTCCTAGAGATTCTCCACTTTGTAAAGGGTATAATCGGCAATACTTACCTGACCCTTTTCTCCACTTGCCGTTCCCAGTCCCACTAACGGACACATTGAAGGTAGCGCGGGCCCGAACATTGATTTTATTATGATTAATAATTTACTATTTAATAAAGGAAATGCATTAAAGATAGTTTTTACTTAGTAAATATATATTTTCTCTATTTTATTCTTTTCAGCCGAGGCTGAGGAACGGGCCCGGCCCGCCGATGTCATGGCCGTCAGATCATGGAAACGGGCTGAGAACTCGATGGACGGCAGAGATCGTCCGAAATTTTCTGTAGAAGGTCTAGAAGCTTCCCGAATGGTCTTAACCCCTTCCGCAAGCAGGCCATCTCCCGCTATAACAGCCTTGGCTGCGTAAGTCTTAGGGTTTTAGCAGTTGCTGGTGCGCCTTTGGAGGACCTTGCTCTTCTTGTGCTCTGATGGCGATCGCCGCCATGCTGGCCTCTCGGCTGACAAAGTCCAAGGCTCTGGCCTCCGGCGTCTCCTCCTCCATTGCTCTGGTTTGTTGATCTATCCCTCCATTCTTCTTTTGTGGCCTTCTCTCCCGTCGGAACTTGCATTCTTGTCCGTGTAGCATTTTCATCTGGTCGTCATCATGGACTCTTGGCACCTCTTGCCTCGTTCGGATCGTTATATCGTACTGTTTTTTGTTGTTTTCTGTTCTCGAGATTTTGTTTTCCCCGGAGATCCGCGTTGCACGAGTAGTGTTCAGTCTGTTGGATTGTGTTCCAGTTCGACGAGAATTTTCCAACTCTAACGATAAAGAGCTTGTCTTCTGTTTAGTCGTCTCTGTTTGTAGTGAATATAGTCACGTGAACGAGGAGGTGCTTCCCTACAATTAGTATCGGGTCTAAGCTTCTTTTCTCCGTGAAAAAATTGAATCGAACTTCAGATCGGAGTTGCTTTCAGCGTGCCACAGGGCCTTCATGAGAATGACGATCAGGATACGTGACGGATTCTCGTTTCTGTTGTCGAACTGTTTTCTTTGGGATTGCCGTATTTTTTCTCTTCTCTGCATTTCCCCGATTCCTATTCAAGCGGTCTGGTTCTGGGCATCCTTCGGTTGTCCGACATCATTGATGTCGGCGATTATGCTAAATTTTCCGTGTTTGATTATGTGCTTTTTTTGGGTCTCATCTTGGTCGCAACATAAATGCGCGTCGTACATCTGTAAACAGGCCGCCGGCCGTTTTAAGTTGCAGCCACAGAGCGGCGGCTTTGTGCATCGACGATGGGAAACTGCGAGAAGAGCCTTCAGGTGAGCATCCTGCGCTATTGTGCTCACACGCCTGTCAACATTCAACTCTGTCTGAAGTCACTTTTTTTGGAGTTTCCTAATGAATGAACTCGTCACCACAGCTCCCAACCGGATGGTGGCGACATCATTGGTATCGACTTGGGCACAACAAACTCCTGTGTATCCGTCATGGAGGGCAAGGTTTGCAAATCATCTCTGAAATCACTCAATTTCATTGTTCATAAAATAAAGGAAATTCGATCTGAGTACCTTCTCTCACGAAGTGATCCACTGATGCAGACCCCTAAGGTGATCGAGAACGCAGAAGGTGCAAGAACAACACCTTCTGTCGTCGCTTTTAATCAAAAGGACGAGCGCCTTGTGGGCACCCCAGCAAAGCGACAAGCCGTGACCAACCCCACCAACACTCTGTTCGGCACAAAACGCCTGATCGGTAGGAGATTCGCCGACCCGCAGACGCAGAAAGAACTGAAGATGGTCCCCTACAAGATTGTCAACGCCCCCAACGGCGACGCCTGGGTAGAGGTGAACGGGAAACAGTACTCCCCCAGCCAGATCGGCGCCTTCGTTCTGCAGAAGATGAAGGAGACAGCGGAGGCCTACCTGGGTAAATCCGTCTCCAAGGCCGTCATCACTGTTCCTGCCTACTTCAACGACGCCCAGAGGCAGGCCACCAAGGACGCCGGCAGAATCGCAGGCCTCGAAGTCCTCAGGATCATCAACGAACCCACGGCCGCCGCTCTATCCTACGGCATGAACAACAAGGAGGGCTTGATCGCCGTCTTCGATCTCGGTGGCGGCACCTTTGACGTCTCCATCCTCGAGATCTCCAATGGAGTCTTCGAGGTCAGAAACCACCACCATCTCTACCTGCTAATTCTGTACACACAATCAGTCAATCCTCCCTCATCCATCTAGCTGCCTATCTACAGCTCAATGACTGATCTTGCTCTTTTTTTATCAGGTGAAAGCTACCAATGGAGACACCTTCCTGGGGGGAGAAGACTTCGACAGCGCCCTCCTGGACTACCTGGTGAACGAATTCAAGAGATCGGACAACATCGACCTCAGCAAGGACCGGCTGGCCCTGCAGAGACTGAGAGAAGCCGCGGAGAAGGCCAAGGTGGAGCTCTCCTCCACCACCCAGACAGAGATCAACCTCCCTTTCATCTCCGCCGACGCCGGCGGCGCCAAGCACTTCAACGTCACCCTCACCCGCTCCAAGCTCGAGTCCCTCGTCGCCCACCTCATCGACAGAACCCGCATCCCCTGCGTCAACTGCCTCAAAGACGCCGGCATCTCCGCCGCAGACCTCGACGAGGTCCTCCTCGTGGGGGGGATGACCCGCGTCCCCAAGGTCCAGGAAACCGTCTCCAACATCTTCGGGAAGCTCCCCAGCAAGGGAGTCAACCCCGACGAGGCCGTCGCCATGGGTGCCGCCATCCAAGGCGGCATCTTGCGCGGCGAAGTCAAGGAGCTCCTCCTCCTAGACGTCACCCCTCTCTCTCTAGGCATCGAAACCCTGGGAGGCATCTTCACCAGGCTCATCAGCAGAAACACCACCATCCCCACCAAGAAGAGCCAGGTCTTCTCCACCGCCGCCGACAACCAGACCCAGGTCGGCGTCAAGGTCCTTCAGGGGGAGCGAGAGATTGCCGCCGACAACAAGCTCCTCGGAGAGTTCCAGCTCTCCGGGATCCCGCCCGCGCCTCGTGGGCTCCCCCAGATCGAGGTCACCTTCGACATCGACGCCAACGGGATAGTCAAAGTTTCCGCCAAGGACAAGTCCACGGGGAAGGAGCAGGAGATCACCATCAGATCCTCCGGCGGCCTGTCGGAGAATGAGATCGAGAAGATGGTGAGAGAGGCGGAGCTGCACGCCAACAAGGACCAAGAGCGGAGGGCGCTGATCGACGCCAGAAACGCCGCCGACACCACCGCGTACAGCGTGGAGAAGAGCCTGGGAGAGTACAGGGAAAAGATTCCGCCGGAGGTGGCGGCGGAGATTGAGGAGGCCGTCGCCGCCCTGAGGGCCGCCATGGCCGGGGACAGCGCGGAGCTCATCAAGGAGAAGATGGACGCCGCCAACAAGGCCGTGTCCAAGATTGGGCAGCACATGAACCAGGGTGGCGGCGGCTCCGGTGGCTCTGATGGGGCACAGGAAGCTGAGTACAAGGAGGCCAAAATGTAGAAGGCCGCAACCTGCAAGGATATTGTTGACTCCCGGATGATTATTATTACTCTCTCTCAACTCTCAGAAATCTGGATTAGCCGAATAATTGGCCCAATGGACTAATTAACAATTTTGATCCATTACAAACCAACCATTTTACCACTCTTTGAGTGTTCCTATTTTTTATATGTACCCCCTCGTTCTCTCTCTCTCTCTCTCTCTCTCTCTCTCTCTCTACCTATCTACCTCTTTTCCTCCTTCCATTTCCACCCCTCTTTCATCTCTCTATGATTAAATGCATATATGCATATATCTAAGTTGAGTACCGGGATTTGTGGCATATACCCACACATTACTGGCATCCTAAAACGTCATGAATATGTCGCATGAAGAAAATAACTGCCTAACGCTCATAACCAGCAGTCAAGATCCTACCTCCCTCTTCCGGAAAACTGGGAACTGGACAAACCCTAGTTCATGCGGACACGAAGAGAGAGAGAGAGCCATTTAAATCCACGGATGAGTGGGGAAAAAAAAGAAGAAAAAAACCCAGTTGGTGCATATAATGAGTGCAAGAACCTGCCATGGGAACCAAATAGATAAATATTTCACGAATTAAAATATATCCCATGTAGACAAAACCCTAGGGGTTTAAGAAGATCAAAGGCAAAGAAGAGGCTAAGAGGCTTTTAAGCTCATCATCATCTCTGGCAACGCCATTTTCAATGAATCCCTTTGTAAAATCATCCGGGGAAGGTGGACAAAGAATTATGCACGGCAATTCCTCACACTCTGGAGTTGATTACGCCCAAAAAATTAAAAGAAATTAATAAATCAAGAAATCCTCGGGGAAAAATGCAAGATAATTTCTCTCGTCTCATCCTGCCATTTCTCAAAACCGACACAATTCAATTAACCGAAACTTCGACGAAATGAAAAAAAAAAAAAAAAAACCCAAGAAGTTGCATGCAATAACCAGTGGAGGCCAAAACACACACACAAGGAACCCCGAGAAGTTCTGCCCTGCACAGTTTATTTTACCAAATTTGATGGGTAACAAAAAAAAATTAAAAAAATCCAGAAAATCAAACTAGTATGGCATGCTTTCTCGAGTCCTTGGGCTGTGGAATTGAAGCATGCCTAGTACTTCTTCCAATATCATTATACCAAAAAATGGGAGGAAAAACGAAATCTTGAAAACCTCAAACTATGGGAACTAAAAACATACAAGAGTATAAAAAAATAAAATAAAATCTAGAAATTATACACGATGCTTCTTGACTCGATCCCTGTTCTTCGACACCCTGCACCATTTATTCTCCCATAAATGTGAAAAATCCAGAAATTTTCCAAGGTGTATATAATATATAATAATATTTTAATTAGGTCCTGTCCTGCTCTCTGGAACCCTGCACCATTTATTTTATTTTTTTATAAAAAACATAAAACAAAATAAAATTGAACGACCTACAAAGTTCCCTGTGAAAATCATGGAAGCCCCTGTGAAAAATACCTCTCCGAGTCTTGCCCTGTCCCTGCTCTTCCATTTATTTAAGTATAGGGGGGGAAAATTACCAAGGGACCCCCAAATGCGGGGGAATGGCATTTGTGTCCCAAAATAGTAGTAAGGATGGGAGTCCATGTATACAAACTGAGTTTTTCTCGGATCCTGCCCTGCTCTTCCTCAACCTGCACCATTCATTTCACCAAATGAAAAGGGCCCTTTACATCCATCCAGCCCCCCAGCATGACATCCTTTATCAAATACTTCATTCATACAGCCCAGAGAAATCGAGTGAATTGCAGGAGGTGAATCACTCCGGTATCATTTTGGTATCTATCCTGAAACAGCTTTAATCTTCTCACTCATCGTTTTAATGGGAGTTAAAGAACCATATCCGATGATTTTTCTATAACCTTGAATTATTTATTCAAGATACCTTCTTTTCTTCCTGTTCTGGACAAGCAGTCTGTTGGGGGAAAGACGTGGCTAATGGCAATGCCATGATAATAAGACGTTTTCAAGGAACCAGCTGTATAAATAATTTTCATTCACCTCCAAAATGGAATCCCCAAAAATTACTCTTCTCCAATAATGGGTGTGTTTCGCAACATCTGAAACCTAGAAACCCTAAAAACAGGGGAAAATACGTCAAATTGGAGATTGCACGATCAATCATCAAGGATCAAGACATGAAAAGCAACATGCGAAACCCATAAAAGATGAGGAATAACGAAAACATCAGAAAGTAACCGGGAGACAACTCAGACAACTTATTAAATTGTTGGGAATCAACATGGAATAGCATGTTCGAACCATATGTGGCACATGAATCAAACGAATAACAGCATGATACAAAAACACCAACCGGTATGCGTTGGCCATTAAAAAAAAAAGAGAGAACAGAGAGGATTTTTTCAGCACATCACAAGATATTAACGAACGGCAATTATATGTATCCTTTAGTGAGAAGAAAATTCCACAACCAGATAAGAAAAATCCCAGGGTAAATGGGGGCCATTCGCAGCTATAGGCTTCAGATAATTAATTCCTATATAAAAAAAAATGATCGAGTGCATTAAATTCCCTCAAGGTCCCCAAATTTTCTAAGAAACCATTCACCACAATTTTGGGATAGGCTCTAAATCTTCCATGCTCTACGTTAAAAAAAAAAGGGGTCATTCGTGTAAAATTAGCACGAGCAAGAGCTATATTGGCATAATAACAATCAGTACCATTCTCGCATTAAAAGCAAGCGTCTGATAGGCAAACTAATGAGAAATTTTAAGCCTACTATATGAAACAATCAAATAGGCAATTACCATGAAACTAAGGATTTTACTTGACATAGGTGCCAAACCAGCATTAAAGTAACAAGATGTCAGATTTGAAAATATGTTTCCGAGCATTAAAAGAAGACACACCAGTTCGAGGCTTGCGTGCCGCAAATGTGCCTGGACCCAAAGTTTACCAAAATACGAGCTGAGAAAACCATACAAAGCTTTCTCTTCCAACATCCTTCAACAGAATCAGCGAAATACAGCAAGAACGGCCGATTTCAGCCCTGATTTCCTTCTCTTTCTCGATTCCATTGTTCAATCCTTGCACGGCGTTCCTCACTTCCTTCTCGAACAGGGCTTCTCATGCGTTTGGGACTTCGATGATGCCGACGACCACCATCACCTTCAGGCCTTCCATGTCTGTTCCAATTTCGCCTGCCACCATCACGGCCATCCCCAAAATCACGGTAGGCACCAGGCTCACGCTGCTCCCTTCGTTGGGGGATTGGGCTCCTACTCCGACTCCTGCTCCCCCTCGATCTTCGGTAACGCCCAAAAAGCTTCCTTCGCAGCTCCCTTCCAATTTGCTTCACATGCATGAAATTGCAGTATCCACCCCGATTGCAGCTGTTCTCCTCAAACTGCCGGCAGGTAGCCTCCCGGAAATCCGTGACGGGGGAGAAGTCAGCAATGATTGGACGCCCAGAGTAGAATCGGCCCTGAAGAGCGCGTAAAGCTGCTTCAGCCTGATCTTCCTCTTTGAACTGGACATAGACATTCCCAACCATATGATCAGCAAGGTTATCGCAGACATTGAGACTTTCAATCTCCCCAAACTTGCTGAGTTCCTCGAAGAGGTCCTCATAGAAGTCTTCAAAGTGCTCTTGGATCTTGCGAGGATCAATGGGCTGGCCCTGAGCATCTACCCCAGGTGTGATCATGTCAGGCCTCTGGTACATGTTTGAAAGCAGGAGAGTGGGAGATATTGTGGGGCGGTTATGGAGCCTGGAACAGCGGTCCCCGTGCCGGCACGCCCCTATCTTGAAGTAGAATGGACAATTAACCCGGTCCTTCTCCGTGCCAAAGATCGAGGCCAGATGCTCTGCCATCAGGTCTGCGCAGAAGAAACAGCACCCGCTTCACCTTCTTTAGGAAAGCCTGTGTGCGAAGTTAAAACCAAGTTCTCAGTCTAATAGATAGTGCCAGGTTCAAAACAAAGCCTCAGATTGTGATTTTAAAACATACCAGATCAGTTCATATAACATCGTTTCTTTTACCCCAGGAATTATATGCACTGGAAAGCTAGTTTAGATCAAACTATTTGGTAATCGCATAGCGCCAGCATTCGGGAAATCCACATCTTCATTCAAAACCCCAAGTATAACCTAACCCCTGTATTTGCATTGGGCAAACAAATGACACTTCCAGTATACGGTATGGAAAACCTATCACGACTACTATGGAACAGTTATCGCGAATGGAAATTTACAACCTTGCGCAGAAAGAACTGAAAAAAACCCTTTCTAGTATCCATTTACAACGAGATCAAGACAACGAACAAAATCAAAACAGGCCTGATTCAGGAAAGCAAAGAGAGGGAAGTAAGAAAAATTATAAGGGAGATACGAACCGCGACCTCTTCTCCTCCAGAGATCTGACGAAGAGGGTGAAGGAAGTTTTAGGGTTTCGCTGATATTCCCGCAAGAAGACCGGAGAGGAGGGGTCTGGAAATGTCCAATCATATGTCGATGGGTGGTATTTAAGGAGCCACCAGATCGATCAATCACGCGCATCCGATTAATCGGACGGTCAGAACCAGCTTGATGCTCTCTCGACTGGGAGTGTACATTTATGAGAGAGACAATTCATCTATTGCCACGCAATCACTTTTGTTCCTAAAATGCACGCCCTCCGTGCACATCAAAACGGTTTTGTATTAATTTATTAGGGGCCCACAGGCGGATGGATGGGCCGTTTGGGTCTGAAATAATCCAGCCCTTTGATTAACAGAAAAGCCAGAAGTCAAACTCAGTTACGAAAGTCAAACCGTGTGTCCTCATTTATATTAACATAAAGAAATAAATTCTACCCAGAACATAGGATAATTTGGAGATATATCCAGCTGTAAAAGTCAAACCGGGACAAAAGTCAAACCCTTGATCCCAATCTTGGCGGTGTCAGGTCGCCCAAATCGGAGGATTCACTTCCCTTGGGTGAAGTTCTCAAATCGATTTGACCAGGAACTTTATGTCTTCCTGTCAGGGGAATCGGAACTTCATGACATCAAAGTCAAACTTAGTAGCCTTCATTAGAATGGATTGAAGTTTCCATAATTCTACCCCTCATGGTCAGAACTTAACATCCGAAAGTCAAACACCGAGGTCCATCTTGATCAGATTAGATAATTGGCGCCATGAAAGATGATCTCAGTCTTGATCGGATCAGTTCAGCTGAATCAATACTGCAGCATATTGCAGTATGCAATCTCGGATCGGATCGGATCGGATCGTGTAGCCATAGTCAAACCTCGTGATCTCAATCTCGATTGTTCATATTGCAGCATTCTCTACCAGAGGTAAAATAAATAGAATCCTGAACTGGTCAAAGTTGCAATCAAGTCGCCAAGCAAACAAACATCTCGGAGATCAGCTGAATCAGACTGTCCACACTTGTACAAAGAGAAGTCAATGTGGGGTTTGACGCGGCTAAATTAGGGGGAAAGTCAATATTGAATAAGTGGGCCCCACATTTTCTTGAGGAAACCAGTCAACACCCACTGTGGCAGGGTGAAAACAAAGATGGTTCAGCAACATAGGAAAGCCAAACGCGTTGACTATTCGATGCTCGAGGAAAGCAGCAAGAGGAGACTTGTCATGCCAGTAGACGTAACCCTCCTGGTTATCTTTCAGAGACCTATCTTGTCCAAATCGTCGAAGTAAGGGTGCTCCATCGCTTTCTTGGCTGAGATCCTTTTCGATGGATCATATTGCAGCATTTTCTGCAGAATTAAAATAAATAAATAAATAAATTGAACTGCTCAAAGACAACCTCCGCAATAAGCAAATCCCTCTCACTCTCTCCTCTCGCTCACACTCTTCCCTCTCTCTCTCTCTCTCTCTCTCTCTCTCTCCCTCTCCCCGTCGTTCATTTTTTGTCAATTGCATCACCAAACGAACTGGTCAACCGAAGTAAAACCTATATGTCGTTCCCTTTAAATCAGGAATCACTCATTTCGGATGATTTTGTTCATAAAATCAGGAATAGTGGACCCTAGACGAACTAGTTCTCTGTAAATGTTTGCATAAATCTTGAATTTTTCAAACAAAAACTATATGAAACACTCATTCCGGATGATTTTGTTCGTAAAACCTAAAAAAAAATCTACCGTTCTGATACTAGATGTCTAAGGTTACATTCGTTATTTGAGGGAGGTTTTTGGTGGTACTTACAGAGAGTAGATCCAACCCATCGGCATCCAAACAAGGCACAACTGAGGACAGGCTCTTTGGGCTCCACAGAGGATACTCGTGCCAATTCGCCAGCTTGCTCACACCAGGCCACACTTGTTCGTTCGGTGTGCCCAGTAGTCTGCATCACCGTCGTCAATAGCCCAGAATATTATTAGATTACACGACTAAATTTTTATTGGAAACAATGAAGTGGATCATGGCAAACCTGAAAATATGGAGGAGCTGCTGCAGCTCAGAATCCCCAGGGAAGAGCGCTTGCGTGGTGATCAGTTCAGCTGCCAGAGAGAAACCCATTGGATTATAATCGTCACTCCAGTTCGACTAACAAGGCTGATTTTTTTTTCACAAAATCCTACCGAAGATGCAGCCAACAGACCACACGTCAACGGGTGTTGAGTAGTGGGTTGACCCGAGAAGCACCTCAGGGGCTCTATACCACAAGGTCAGAATCTATAAAGAGAAAAAGTGGAGAAAAATAATTAAACAGTGAAGAGGTATCAGAAAATGTTGTCAATTCAACTCCACGAGCATGAGATCATTTTTCATAGCGTACCTCGTGAGTATATTTCTTCAGGGGGATTGTGAATGATCGGCTGAGCCCAAGATCCGCTATCTTGAGCATCATAGTGTTCATGTCCATCAACAGATTATGAGGCTTTAAATCTCTGCAGAAGAGAGATTATCGTTCAGCGAAGAGATTGACTAGCTTAGGTGAAGGCACATAGGAAGAGAGGATACATGCCTGTGCAGTACTCCATGGCCATGGCAGAAGGCAACACCCTTGCAGAGCTGGTACATCAGAGTCTACGAACGATTTTCTTCTTGTGAGTGAACGTGAAATGTGCACCGGAAGGGGGGTGACTGAAAGGATCCAGACCCTACCTTCACAGTTTTAGACGGCATCATGCTCCCTTTCTGTCGGAAGCTTCTGAGGTACTTCTTGAGGTCGGTGTCCATGTACTCAAAAACCAGGTACAGGATGGTCTTTCCCTCTTTATTTTTCCCCTGTTTGAGATCCAGCAACCTGGTGGAAAACGATTTGTGATTGATCTGTATACATCGTCAATTAGCAGGGAAAGAGAAACGACTTCTTTCTATAGAAGTTGCAGAAACAGAGACAGAACGAGACCCCCGGCGATGGGGAGAAAGCTATGTGTCTCTGGATATCCCTGGAACTCCAAAACAGAAAACAGAACGTCGAACCAACCATAGATGGCAACTGGAAGTTAACGCGGTGCAATCTAAGAGATATCTTGTATAATCTGGCAGATCGCGGTGAAGAGATAAGTAAATAACAGGCTAGACCCCTAGGCGGCTCAGATGAACTTAGAAATCGTCAGGAGAGAGACCAAATCCAATGACTATCCAATTAGAAGAGATTGGAAGAAAATATGACAGAAAATAGAGACGGAACCTGACGACGTGTGGATCCATCGAGAGCATACGGAGGAGGGAGACCTCGCGTAGTGTTGTCGGCGGCACTCCCTCGTCGTCCTCGGGGAGCCGCGTCTTCTTAAGCGCCACGATCGTCCCGGTGGCCTTCTCCCTGGCTCGATACACCTTTCCGTACGTCCCCTCCCCGACCTTCTCCAGCTTCTCGTAAAGATCCATGGCCCTCTCGCCACCCATCTTCCCCTTCTTCTCACTTCGGAATCGGGCGATCTTCGGAATGGCGCTGCAAATAGTGGGACCAGCAGGGAGCGTTTCGTTTTTATAGCTCTTCCGGTGATGTAGCCGTTGTCATGAGCCGCCCTAACGGCTATCGAATTCAATTTTGAACTGATCCCGGATATGGACCCGATATTCACCCGATAAGGATCCATTTTCAGATGTGGCCTTGCTGCGAGATGCTCTGCCGTGGTCAACGACCACGTGGTGCCAGTAGATACGTGGAAAAGTAAAGGGTATATGTTTAATAATTAAGTTTTATAGGTGGTATTGTACAAATACAAAATAAAGCCAAGCTATTCGAGTCATTTAAACTCCTCAGGGGTTTTACGACCTCTTCCGGTTTCTCAGACCGATTCGAAGGGTTCTCATGGCAGCGCCGCCACCGCAGTCGCCTTCTCCGGCGACGCCCACTCCTGCTGCGCCATCGCCGGGAAGCCAGTCTTCTTCCGCTCCTCTTCCTTCCCATGGTTTGACCCAGGCCGCCGTGAAAAATGAGGCTCCGACGACGAACAGCGCGAAGGAGAAGAGCCCTTCCTCTCTCGGATCTTCCGCCAAGGAACCCGCCTCTGCCTCCGTCCACACCGCCATCGCCGTCCCCAGCCATTCGAGTATGAGCTATACGATATCCTGAAAAATTGTGGAGGATTTCTGTGAAACGCCTGACTGAGGGATTGATTCTCTCTCATTCTTCCCCTTATGATATCAGGGTGGTTCTCCTTCGGGGAAATCCACGCGACCGAGCGCAGGATCTTGCCGGAGTTCTTTGACGGGAAGTCGCCCTCGAAGAACCCTAGCCTGTATATGTACTATAGGGACTTCATCGTCCGACGGTTCAGAGAGAACCCGGCTAGGAAGATCTCATTCACGGAGGTGCGCCGGTCGCTCGTCGGGGACGTCGGGTCGGTGCGCCGGGTTTTCGACTTCCTCGAGACGTGGGGATTGATAAACTATACTGGATCGGAAAAGCAGGGGGCAAAGGGTGGCGTGGAGGATAAGGAGAAGAGGGGGACGGATGAGGGAGCAGGCAACGGGCTGGGCGCCGTGAAATCCTTCTGTACGACGTGCAAGTCGGAGTGTAACATCGTTTGCTTCGCCACTGAAAAGGTTAGCTCCGTGAGCTTTGGATTTCGGTTGTAATTCCTTCGGAATTTCCATGAGTACGATCCACATTGTTCTAGGGTTTTGTTTCCCGTTGTTAGGTGCCAGATCTTATTCTCTGTGCAAGATGCTTTGTTCGCGGAAGTTTCCGGGGCGGACTGACACATGCGGACTTCAAGCGGGTCGATGTCAGCAGTAGCTCCGAGGAGAAGAAGAGAGACTGGACTGACAAAGATGTCCTTCATCTACTGGAAGCGCTGTTACTGTTTGGGGATGACTGGAAGAAGGTGGCTGAACATGTGGGTGGTGGGAAGAGTGAGAGGGATTGCGTCATGAGGTTCATCCGGCTGCCGTTTGCGGAGCAATTCGTGGAACCTTTGGGTAGTCAGACATATGCTCAGTATCATCAAGAGGATGATCATGGTGACACCAAAACTGGAGGTGGGAATGTTGTGCAGTCATCTGCCTTGAAGCAGATGCGTCTTTCACCGCTAGCAGATGCAAGTAACCCAATCATGTCTCAGGTGTGTTCTTAAGTTGTGGGGAAATCACATTTACACGTTGGGATGCAAGTATGTTTTACCTAAATTATCGAATTCTTTTTCCTCCAAGCAAATATTATCGTCTCTTTTGAATAGTTTATATTGTTTCAATTATCTTTATGGCATTATTTCAATCCCCATAATTTATTTTTTCGAAAATTTCCCCTGTTGTCTGATGCTAAAATAGCCCATGAATATAACTTTTTATGCCATTTAAGCTGCTTTGACATCCAAATAAATATTTTTTTATGCCGCAGAAAATGTTCAATGCTTTATGTTCAGCGGACTTACCCAAAAAATTCCAGTTTTAAATACTAGTCGTGATATCTTGTAGGATAAGTATTTTCGTGATGGCTCGTAGTTTAGAAATGTGTAGAGTTATTATCTGAAAGGTTACTGAAGATTGACAATTCAACATGGCAAATAATGTTAGAAAGAGCCGGTGGAAGGGGAAACACAGAAAAGAAAAAAAATTCATGTGGGAGCTTAAGGGGATTGAGGGTATGTATGACGACCGTCACTTGGAATGATAGGTGAGTGTGTAGGTATGAGAAGAAGACAGTGACGTAGTTAGCGAAAAAAGGAAGAATAATCTTTTCCTATTTTTTGAAAGTAGATAATATCACATATTCATTATACAGAAAAAATAACAGCATGGATATACTCATGTACGCCAAAAAATTTACATTAAGAACTCCGTATGCTAATTAATATTTGCTTACAAAAAAAAAAAACGACAGCATGGATTGTAGAAAAAATAAACATAAAAAAGGGAACCAAGGCTCTTGGCTCTTGCCCAGGTGGTGAATATGCATACCACAAGGTTCAAGCAAATGAGAGGCCATACATTGTCTAAGTCTCTTTTACCACAAAAGCTTCAAACATTGTAGGGACTGCAGAATCATTAGTAGGCCCTTCTCTTCTTCCCAATTCTCTCTTCGTCTCCTTACCTTTATCTCTTTCTTCATCTTTTCCATTTTTTTCTTCCGAAATATATGCATTGAAGAAATTTTCAATTATTTTGGATTGCATGTTTAGGAGAAAAGAGAAATGAGAGAGAGTCTTTTTTATAGATGGTCTTACCTTCAAGTAGTTATCATTCTCGTGCAATGAGTGCTTTTAGTCACCCAAGCGCCTGCCTACTTTGAGATAGTTTTTTAGTTTGAAAGCCCGGATATCCTCAAAGCAATGTGATCAACTAATTACTTGCTAGGCACAATTGACAACAACATTTTGTGTCACTGTTGACAATAGCTTGAAGTTTGCAGAAAGCAACTTGTTCAGGAGAATAGTATCATTAAGAAAGCAAGACTGGTATGAAAATCGAAACTCTCTCTTTTTCTGATAGGCATGCGATTCAAACGAAGTTAGGATTGGAACGCAATTCTTGGGAAGAAATAATTCCTAGTAATCTAAAAGCTCTGGCAAAAGCAGGGATAAAGGAGAGAGTGAGGGAGGAACGTAAGAGACCACTGATTGTTCTGTAGTCTCTGCGAGTGTTTAATGAAAGAGAACTCTCCCAATTTGCACACCTCTATCAGTGACTCCCATTTTTTCTAACCCCATAGTTATATACATGCCTTGTATCGATGGGGCGTATGCCTTAGTTTCTTTTTTCCATTTTTTATAAATATTTTATATTTTTCATGTAACAAATATGTTTAGGCACGTTCCAAAAATGGATCGGAATGCCCATCAAGCTGCACATTTGCTGAATTCTGTCTGCTATTTTCTCACTTACTGAGATCAGTTCATCGAATCCTAAGTTGATTTATTCTGTCTCTAGAACCATCTCGCTCTCCATTAGCGATTAAATCTGTGTCCCATGTTGAGTGGCTTATCAGCAGTCTCTGTGGATCATAAAGTCAGTACCCAGCCATTCAGTTTCTTCTCTTTGAGACTACGGAAATTTAAAACTGACTGCTATGGAAACTCCCGGTCTCCTCAAGCGTGGCTACATCCTCGCTCCATTCCCAGCTTCCTGCTCCAATCCTCCAACTGGTCAAACGACCTTTTTTTTGGTGAAAATGACAAACGATTTGACTGCCATGCGAGTTATTTTCTTCTCCATTTGCACGTATGATTCTTCATTCCAGCTTCGAGATCAAACTTTCGTGCAATACATGTGAGTGATGAATAAATATTGAATACAATCCCTGGTGTGGAATTTATTTTTCCTATTATTACAAGTCTCTGTGGATCGTAAATACTTTTCGTGGTTGTTCATCAGAATCATCTTATTCATCTATATTCACTTCTAATAAAGCTATCAAACATTGATATTTAATGCAATGGATTATGGTTGGTTATCAATGATGGTGATGTTTATGCAAATTTATCAACTTGATGGGTTTCTCAGGTAGCCTTCCTGGCAACGATAGCTGGGTCAGAGATTGCTGAAGCCGCATCTAAGGCTGCCATTGCAGCTCTAGATGAGGTAAATGGAGACGGTTCTCTCTTGGAGGATGTTCGAGATTCTGGAGCAATTGATGGTGATGCAGACGGTAAGGGTACCTTTCTGGGCCGGATTTTGGAAATACATGTATTTCAATCTTAATAAATACGCTCAGACAGTTTCCATCATATGCTGGTCAGTAATATTCAGAAAAATGCACAATCTAACAAATAAAAATGATTTTTTTTTTCTTAATTTGCATTCAGTGTCTATGGTCAATAGGGTTTATGGCAACTATGTTGTTAGTTTATTTAGTGAACTGGAATGGATGTTATTTGGTTATTCTAGGGACAGGATAACAATTTTTAGCTGATATTGCATGAAATTGTTGGCCATTCTCTTAAACTGATTCTATCGAGCTCTTATTACTAGTTCATGCGTTGACAAATATAACTCACTCTGAATGGTGTTACAACGTTTGACTGCTTACATTGTTTCCCTTACTTTCCTTCAATAGTTAATTTGCAATTATTCATCATAAAATCTCGTTTTCAACCAACATGCATCATTCTGGTAATTCTGCATCATTCTTTGAAGAGATCTGAAGAAATGAACCAAAAGCCTGTTCCTTTTACCACAACGGGTTCAAGCCCATGCCCCACTTCCGAAATTAGCAGCAGGCCCCCTGATCCCTCCTCACCCTATCGCATTGCCCGCTTCCTTCCTCTCCCCACTGGGGCCCTGGGCTTCATAGGGCTCTCTGCCCCCCAAGAGGATTCTCTCCCAGCCCTTCCACTTCTAGTCTCTATTTTCATGGTGAGGTCAGCCAAGAAATGGGAATCAAGTTGACTCGGATTGATGGGAAAGATCTAATGAGGAGGTTTTTCACAATTCTTATTCAAGAAATTTGAAAGTTTGGAGGCCATGTTGATGTGGCAGATGAGAAGAGCTTACCAATTTTTAGAATGCGCAATGTTGTTACCACCTATTCCAAATGGAACAAGCAGGGCACCCCATGTTGTGCCAATTTTCCTGTTATATATTTTTAAATTATCCAGAATTTTAGGTGCCCGATTGAGCTTATAACTGGTGGAATCATGTTATAATGATTAGTTATTTTGTATTAATGGAACCAGTTGCCCCTAAATACCTTCTCTTCTATGGTGCAGTCCTCTTGTGTGTGTATAAGAGAGAGAGACACACAGAGACAGAGACAGACAGACAGACAGACAGAGAGGAAGAGAGAGAGAGAGACAGACAGACAGACAGAGAGGAAGAGAGAGACAGACACAGAGAGAGAGAGAGAGACAGACAGACAGACAGACAGACAGAGAGGAAGAGAGAGAGACAGACACACAGAGAGGAAGAGAGAGAGCCAGACACACAGAGAGAGAAAGAGAGAGAGACAGAGAGAGAGAGAGAGAGAGAGAGAGAGAGAGAGATCTCAATAATTGTCTTCTTTTTTTCTTTTTCTTTTTTTCTTTTTCTTTTTTACTTTTTCTCTCTTGGAGATGACAGCAAACATATTCTGGGCAGGTTCGGTTTCTTCAGATGATCACAAAATGTCAAAAGGCCAAGAGGCAGCAGTGATTGGAGAGGCGAGGGCTCTGCTCGAGAAGGAGCAGCACAACATCGAAGAGTCCCTCTCTCGGATTGTGGAGATTCAGGTTCCATAACAGCAGCCTCTTCTGAGCGCCATGAATCTTCCAACCATCGGTTTCCATTAATGGCTCTGGCGCTTGCAATGCAGATGAAGGAGATGCTGGAAAAAATCATCCATTTCGAAGAACTGGAGCTGCTGATGGAGAGAGAGTGGCTGCAACTGCAGCACCTGAAGACCCTGCTGTTCGTCGATCAGCTGAATTTCTTGCAGCAGAGATCTCGACCCAAGTCCCAAGATGGTGGGGAGAAGATGGTTTTAGAGGCCACAAGTAAAGAGGTGTAGTCGGTCCTCATGGGTCCTTTTTTACTGTACATATACACGTTAATTAATGTATACTTGGAGATCATATGGTCTGAATTATTTTTCTCAGTGAGATTATTATATTTTATTTTATTTTATTTTTTGTTCTCAATTCGATTGAACCTTACAAAAACCTGTATATGTTGGAACCAACGAACCTAGTGAGTCCTCTCTCTCTCGCTCTCTCTCTCTCTCTAAATGCATACCAAACTACCGGTTAAGTAAATTCTCTTAGGTGAGGTTGGGGGAGGCAAAGGGTACTACGTCCTTCATTTAACGCTAAAACTGGAACGCTGAGCTGCCTTTTTAGTGTTTTGGGTGTGAGAATCAAGTTTTTTTTTTTAATAAGCCAAATTTTTTATAAGAGTTTCTAAGGGGCTCAGCTTAATAATTTATAAGTATTCTATATTTTTTGGGATAAAAAAATCGCTTATTTTTGATAAAATAAGAATGATCAGACCTTCAATCTGTCTCAGGCTGGAATAGAGATTTTTTTTTAATCAAGTAGAACTGGCAATATCAAAGATATCAGAGCGATCTGATTACCAAATTGGGGCAATTCACAGCTCAATAATTAAATCTCACAAAAAAAAGCAAAAAAAGAAAAAAATTGTAGATATAAACTACAGAGCATACTTTTTCGAGGAAAACCAAATTAGGATGATTTAAACTGATCCCAATTCTAAATTTATCTAGGTTTTAGTCCATCTAGCTTAATGAATCGGAGCCGATGAATCTCAGAAACTGTGTTTAACGAAAAATTTACGAAAAAAATGTGCAAGGATTTGTGTAGCAGACAGATAATAATACTTGCTAAATATCGAGCAAAACCAAATTAGATGGTTTATATTGAATCAAACCCTCTTGTTTTGCTAGGGTTTAGTTCAATCAGGTTGGTGGGTCCCAGCCACCTTAGAAACTTTTCCGAGTGCAATCTCCAAAAAAAAAAAGAAAAAAGAAGAAGAAGAAAAAAGCGAAATGAGAGCATTTGCAGTCTCAAAATTTCCAAGCAAAACCAATTATCATTTTTTTTTACTGAATCGAAGAACTTATTTGGCAAGGTTCGCTTCGATCTGCAGTTATGAACGGAGAACCCTTCTCAGCAAAACTGTGCTCGACATACAATATTCAAATAAAATGAGAAAAATGCAAGCATTTACCAAGCTAGTCAGATTCTGTCTTACCGTCGAAGAAAATCTGACGCATACAGCTCGGCTATAGAAAACCCATTTCTCTCTCTCTCTCTCTCTCTCTCTCCCCAATTTTTTTGGCTCTTCCAATGGCAGTTGATTCAGCTCTCTGCCTAAAGCGAAAGGAGTCATTTTGGCTACTGGGTCTCCGGTGAAACACAATCGGATGGAATCTTCTTTCTCTTATCAGATCTCACCAAGGGAGAATGATTAAATATGAAAACTAAGTAAAAAAAAAAGTAAGATTCATTGAATGAGTTCATTTATGAGATCTCATTTAGGAAATTACCAAAGAAGATGTAGAGAGATAGAGTTTTCTTTGACTACAAGTCTGCGAAAAAACTGGCTCCAGGAGCTCTGGACGCTGGCCCATTGTTTGACTGTCTCTTGGAACCTGCAGATAGTCAATGGTTAGGCAGATGCCAGATAGATGGTACTCAGCAACCGATTGAAGGGCACACATAACTGAAAGCAAATGACATGATGACTGCCAAGTTGACCGAGAAAATAACAGTCGGAAAAGAGATTAGTGATTTTATAAGTACTATAACATGATCCTGGGGTGTTTTTCATCGAATTTTTCTACCATTTTGGAACATACGTAGTGCAAAAAAATCAACATTGATAGGACTATCACCACCTTTCCCTCCTTGGAAAGTTGTAAAAACATCACAATATTGTTTGTTTCTGATTGTACAGTTCTATTGCTGAATGGTACATGTCAACATCACAACATAACGGGGAGTTTTGAAATAGAGTGGCATCTCATTTTTCGGAGATGTGATCAGGTATGCTATTTCCGTTTTTATATTAAATTTCTGCTCGAATCTATTAAATTCTATCTTTTCATAACGATCTTGTTACTATGAATATTCCTAATTTTTAACACAAATTTACAGAAACTACTCTGTCAGAAAAATAGAGCGACATCATCTGCGCATACCCTTTGATGATTTGGGGGGTTTGATGTCCACATCCATGTCATCATCAATGTCGTCATCACTATCTGTTTCCAATCCCTGGCGGTTGATTGGATTTTGCTGTCCATCTAACAGCTCTTGCATGTCCCAGAGCTATACATTAAACGATGAAGTTAAGAACACAAGCATCAACTTGAAAAAATCAATCAAATGGCAGATTGATAACGGAAAAAGAAAAAACGTTTTCCTAATATAATAATTTATTTCCAAATAAAGAAAATGTGAAACAATGAGATAGATACTAACCTTCAACATCTGATCATGTGAGATGCTCCCGAGAAACTTTCTATCATTTGAGAAGGCTGCCAACAAGAAGACACAGATCAACTTCAGAATATGAAATTGTAGAAGAACCAGGAGGAGAAAACCCAAATCGAGAAGCATGAAGGTATGTACCGAGGCCCTCAACTGGGCATTCTGAGTGCTCTGCAAGAGGCTGTATTATTCTATTGGGTAAAATGCCGACCAGCCTGCATTACCACACAGAACAACATATTGAATAGAGTTCACACTCAAGTTCAGAGAAGCGAATGAAATAGAAATAAACCTGATGACTCCATCATCCGCTCCAGATATAAGAGTGTCTTCATCAAGCTGTAATGTTGGAATGTATGTTGAGAAATATCAGTGCAAGCAATCTATCTATTTTTCAGACGGAATACAACATTATTTTCGGCATACAGACCTTGAGTAGTGTAACTGACATAGGGTGCCCAAGGAATCGATCACTAAAAAACCAACAGAAAATAAATTAGAAACTCAGTAGTAAGAGTTCGAAAAGTGAATGCTAAAGTGTAATGATAACACAGGTCGAATATCAATAGATATTGACACAAATAGAATAATCATTCTTGAGCAAAAATGTCAAAAAAGTGATAGCATTCAAACTGAGAGAATAGCTTCATTCTTCTCATTAACTTGCATGCATGCCTTGACTGACATCGAAATCCGTTAACTAACTATGATTGGGAGTTCCGACTATCTTTTCCATCAATCTTTTTAAAGACGATCATCAACAATAACTTTCTCACGTTCGTCAACCATGTAAAATTAAACCGTCAGAGACATTCAAGACTAACTTTCTGATTCTTAGACATGCACAATCACAGTATTTGTTCCGAACATGGTCAACGACATGGTTTAAAAAACCGTCAGATCAGGATGAAAGCTACAAAGATCAAGCCAGATCAGGTGCCCTAGTCAAGTAAAGAGGGCAATGACATCTTAAAACTTGAGGCTTCTCTTCAAACGTTCATAACATTAATGAGCTTCAAAATTTTCCGACTTAAATCATGTCCTCCAAATCATTCAGTTGTAAAAAAAAATCCCTAGTCAAGTAAGTTTTATTTTCATGGATCAAATCGCTCCTCCATGAGTGCGAGATAAAAATAGAAGGAAGAGGCGGTCTTGTCCCACTTCTTCTCTCCATTCACAAGCTGACATTTTTCTCCTTCTTCTCCGTTGTTTCTTCTCCTTTTACCTCCTCTTGTAGACCGGCTATCCTTGTTTTCAGCAAATTAAACACAAATGGAGATAACGTCAGACAGGTGGATTTTTATTCTGATGTCCCCCCCAAGTATTTATCTTTTTTCCAAGTGCATGTTGCTTTAATTCTATGTGGCCGCGAATGCTGCTATTCCTATCCTCTACACAATGCCTGATGCATAAATTTCATCCATATTAACTGCTTCAGAGTGAAAATCATAGAAATAATTGCACCCTCCACTCACCCCTTACTATCCTATCCCCAGACTGGTCTGAACGTACATCTGATCCTTGAGATAAGCATGGTGGTCAACCAACCAAGGATGTGGTTCCTTCTGATCCAAATATACTGTTTCAAAAGTTCGCAAAGTCACACTTTTCATGGTTGCCATAGATACAAAAGCAATTTATGCAATTTATTCATGAATCTTCTTTCCTAATAACTACATCTATGCCAGTTATGCATATCATCGATGGAATGAACCGGTAACCAATGCAATATCATCAATATTTTCTTTGGTACTTATTTCCTTTTAAACAAAAGAAAAAAAGAGAGACAAAAATCCAGCAGATTTCCTTCGTTATGCAGAAAATGGCTGGTTCACGGCATCTGCACCAGGTAAACATGTGTATGGTAGGCCTTTGAGCTGAAACCCCAAGAAATAACCCAAAAAAACAATCACATACCTGCAATCTTTGAAATAACCCCAAGAATATAGCAACAATGCTCCAGTCTGGGTCCCACAAATGACTTTCCTCCCATTCTGATTGAAGAAGCAACTTCTTAGTGAAACCCAAAAAAAAATACCACTCCATGTGATTAACGACCAATGGAGATGATGGAAGATAAAAAAAATGGAAGACTGAAAATGACAAACTTCAGCCAAAAAACATTCAGTAGACCTACAAACTGGTCATTTTCATGCTGACGATTAATTGGATTCCTATAAAAAAGCACAGCGTCTGAGCAAACAAATTTGAATTCTCCATACTTTAGGGATTAAATTTCCAAGTTGCACAAAATGCTCTACTTTGCTACGAAACTTTTTCTATCAGCCTAACAAAAATATGCAACACGAATTCTGGGCGTCTCAGATCTTTCTCAAGTACTTTCTAGGCTAATATTCAAGAGCACGAGACAGAAACCAAAAGAAGTAAAAAAATATTCTTACAAGAAAAAGATTATTCAGAAAAACTGCAAACGCAACATCAAATTTACAGTATGTGAAATGTCTGAGAGCAAAGACAGACTTTGACTGAATTGTAAAAAAGATTAATAAACTTAGCATGTGTTGATATCTTTGCAAAGCTTTTAATCAAATATTGATCAGGAGGAATTAATTTACCTTCATCACTGCTATGGACAGAGGCTCATCTTCAGAAAACTCAGACTGACATTTTACCTGACATTAATCAAATTCAGATTTTCAGAAGACCTCAATTTTCTGTTCATAATAAATGATCCAACGCTGCCTCACATTATACATATAGCATGGCATCGCAAGTAACAGGTACCTTATTTTTTCGCAAATCACAAACAGAAATCGTGCCATCTCCACTGTAAAAATTAAATAAAAGACATGTAATCAAATTTATTGCAGACAGTAGGAAAAATCATAATTTGACAGGCATGACTCAAGGTTGGCAACAATCTAAACAAGAAAGATGATTCATTCCACTAGAGGAACCTCAAAATTACTTAAGGGATCAGAATATAAATAAAACATGAAAAATTTACCACAGGGATCAAGCATATTTGCAAATTCATTAAATTTTCGCCAACGTGAAAAATCTTTATCCCAATTGTTAGGTATGCAACAATCCAAACTTGGGCCAGCAATTCAGGAGTTTCTCAAAGATCAAAATTGATATGGGAGACTGAGAAAACTTGATTTGCTACTGGGAAAACTTTGGAAAGTTAGGAAATCGTATATCTTTGCCATTAAAGAACAAGAGACAATGACCCATAGCAGAACATAGAAATATTATGAACAGAGATAGAGACTACACCCACCTTCTAAATAAATGCATGGCACAATCATATGCACATGAACATGGATAGCAAATAAATAGTTGAATATGCCAATAAATGTTAAACAACTTATATTCAGAAATATGCCAACGTAACCACGCTGAAAAATTCTACCAAAATGTGTTACAATATTTTTCGACATGAAACAGAACTCAAAGATAGCAGACATATAAGCCACAATGAGTATCTATTACCTTGTGGCCAAAATGTGCATAGAAGGGGAGACAAATGTCATATCTGAGATATAATCTTCGTGTGCATCAAAGGAATTGCAGCAGGTACGTGCACGAGTGTCCCACACCTGCCAAATGAAATGGTTCAAGCTACTCTCTCAGAACTTGACGAGAAATGAATGTTAGATACCACAGTAGTCTACATAACCAAAACTCAGAGACATTCCAAGCGTTCAGTGTAGTATAGCCAAAAGAAATACATCAAATGTGACATGAAATATTTTTTAGTAAAACTGCATGATACCCATTTTATTGGACGAAAAACTTCCTAATGCCAAACTTTCAAGACTTAAAAAAAGAAGACCCAATATCTAAATTTGCGAAATGCGATTGGTAGCACAGCATATAATTTATAAATTTCAGCTGAATTGAATTTAAATTCAATTATCTAGTTATGTATTCAACTTTGATAGAATAAAAATGAAGATGCAAACAAAGAGATGGCATTCATTACATGTTTAGCATAGTCATAAAACGCGTTCAGTTCTAGAGAATAAATGCAATAGAAAATCACAATTGATTATTTACAAAATAAGTACATATTAACATTCGATGATCCCCACTGGAAGATGGGGCCAAATCACCATAAGATTTTTGGATGACCAAGGCAGCTCTGAAGTTTGAATTCCTTTCTTTACATGGAGGTGGGAGGCACCACACATCAACGAATAGAAGTAAATGAACCGCGTGTACGAGTAAGCAGCGGAATTATCGTAACGCACCGGCAATCAAACAGCTACGCGTCAGAATCATAAGAGAAAGCAGAAGGATGAAGAAACTGAACCTTTATGCATCCTTCATCATCCCCAGTTGCGACTGTATTTTCTGTCAGATTAACCAGGCGGTTAATTGGATCTCTACATCAAAAGAAAATGTTATGAGTGGTCTTCTATATTTCAAATAAAAGATTAAGCAAACTAGGAGATCTAGAGACGAAGACTAACTCATGGGCATTTTCCAGGCGTTCAATGGAACTTCCGGTCTCCACGTCAGTAGCAAGAATTGAGCAATCCGCAGACCCAGTTAAAATCACTGAAGTTATACACAGAATACGTACCACATCATTATAAAGAAAATAATTCAGCGCCCACAGAGTTGTACGATAAATCTCACCTCGACCAGAATCGATGAAACGGGCAGCTCTACAGGACTCGTCGTGAGCATGAACTTCCAGCAACCTGACGGAGTTATAAAAAATAACATCCAATTTCCATTCGAAATCAAAGTTAACAAGTAATAAACCCGAAAACCCGCATTACACCGAACATGAGAATGGGCGCGCACCTTTGCGGCTGTGTATCGGCAGCGTACTTGTACCTGAATCAGGACATGAACAAGGTCATCATCGGTATCCAACATGAACTTCTGAGTTTCCGAATGTTCGTTCGCGTAGCTTACAGTTGGAAGTCGCCGCTGATAAGTCCAGCTGCGACGATGCAAGAAGAGGGATGGAAATCAAGGTCGAAAGGTATCCTCCCGAGGTTGACCTCCATTTCCCGCGATATCCACTAACGAGCAGATCTACCTCGGAAGAGAACGACGACGAGGACGGCGCCGGCGGCGGTGGCGGCGGCGGTCCGGCGGCCGGAGGGAGAATGGCCCCGAGGGTTTTGGGATCGGAGTTGCCGCTGCGGCGTTCCGCGGGTTTTTGCGGCAGCCGGAAACCGGTCCGGCCGGTTGTTTTCGCCCCGTCTTCGCCCTCGACCGGTTCCCCCTCACGGATCATGGCCTCTTGATGTATGATGAGACCATCCATCAGACGGTCTACGCTCTCGTGTTTTTTGCTGTAATTTTACAAAAAATAAAATCATTATTTTAATTTTTGGAATTATTCTTTTCTAAGTCATAAAGCACAATTTTAAATGATAAAGATAAAAATAAAAGGGTAAAAGATATATTTTTGTGATTTTAAAATCCCAATAAATTAGTTAATCATTTCAACTATAACATATTCGTGATCCGTAATATGCACCAACCCATTTTAACCAAATAAATCCTATAATAGGGGGAAAGTAGAGAGTTTTGTTAGTGCAGTCAACGTTGACCTTGGAGTCCCCATCTTCTCTTTTCCACGTCATATGCAAGTGGTGAATAATTTCAAGATGAGAATTGAAATATCCATAAATTAAATCAAGCACGTACAAGAACTTGGGGGTTGACTTCACAAAGTATTTGTAATAAATTATTATATTTTAATCAGGTCCTGATTAATAGCAAAGTTGGCCAATATAATTAAATAAATATATAATTAGGTGGATTGACCTCCAAAGAGTGTAGATGGTTGTAGAAGCTTGGAGGAGTCATCCAAGTAATTGTGCCACGTGTAATTAGCCATTTTTAAAATCCCTACTATTTTTTCCAAATGATTTATTTCTAATTTTAGGAAATCAGAGGGAGGGGTATATTTTGGAGAAATTTTTTAGAGGGCGGTATCTCTAATAAAGTTGTGTTTCGTGGACCCAAATGCAAAAAAAAACGTCGGGGGTTTACAAGATCTGGGCTCATTTTAGGGAGCTTTTCTTTTGGGCCGGCCCAATTTGACGATTGATTAAAAAAGGATTTAAGTCAAATTAACTTAATGTTGGATGCCAATTTGTATGAAATTAAAGGTGGGGGGATCTTTTCTTTTATTTTGTTTCGGAAGAAAAGATGGGTCCCCCATAATAAGCGGCGCAGGAAAAAAGGAAAATTGGGGGCGAGAAATTCTCGGTGGGGGGTTGAGGGGAGAAGCAGCAGGATTTCGCCGCCTGGGGGACGGGTGGAGAAGAGATTTGGGTATTTCTTCGTGGTCTGGAGCGGAATTTCCCAGCTCGGCTTCTGCGTTTTTCCCGAACTTGCCAAATTTCTCGAGCTTTTCTGTTGCATTTTCATGAATTTCCGGAGAAATGAGGGATTGAGGGGGGATTTCTGACGCAGATGCGGAGACCCGGATACGGAAATTCTCCCCTTCTTCGCGCTGGATCTTCTCCCAGCCCGGGTATTTCCTCGGGTTCTCTCTCTTTCTCTCTCTATCTGAAGGCGCCAGGGTTTTAGGATTCTTCTTCGTAATTTCCACGGGGAGACGGGTTCGGATTTCGCCACTCCTGGGGTTAGGGTTGTTTCGAATCTCTGCTTCTGCTCCGGTAAATTTTCGTTCTTCGTCCAGCCGCTGTGGCAAGCTTCCCTTTTTTCACCACAAAAGCTGGATTCACCCATTGAGCTTCTTGAATCTGTTTGATGGTGCAACCTGTGGAGTTGCAGAGTGAGGACGGGTCGGCGGTCTCTGCGACCTCGCACGGATGGAAGTGAGATCTGATCTAGGAATCATGGCGGGCAGGGAACAGTACAGTGTGGGCCTGCAGAAGAGCCCTCTGCAGCCGCAGACTATGCAGCTATCCTTCAACCCCGATGGCGCCCCTATCTATAAGCCGGTGACCAGCGGCTCTACTGTCTACCAGGCTGCCGGCGTTGGCGCTGGAGGAGTTGGGGACATCGGAGAGGACGCTGCGCAGGCGGTGGCTCCCTACAGGTTGAACATGAACGTTGGGGAGCCCATCAAGAGGAAGCGTGGACGGCCGAGGAAGTACGGTCCTGAAGGGTCCATGGCCCTCGAGCTGGGCTCTCTTTCCTCTCCAATGGGTGCCTCTGGATCATCTGGTTTTCCTTCAACCGCCGCTGGGAGCTCTTCAAATCCTGCGTCTTCTCCGTCATCGGCATCAGCATCTGTCACGAAGAAGGCGAGGGGCCGCCCACCGGGTTCTGGGAAGAAGCAGCAGTTGGCTGCTCTGGGTATTCTCGAATCTCAGTTCCCCTTATTCCCCTGCAACTGTGTTTTTTTGGATCCGTCGACTCCGGTAGACTAATACTTTTCAAAAGGTGGAGGAGAGGGCTTTGGGTAATCATGCTGGTCGCCTCGATTTCGGTCGTTGAGCTGCCAGCATGGGATTCAGCCTCCTGAAATTACCCTTGTGCCCTCGCTCCTTCTCCTCCAGCCTTTGACTTTTCTCTGGTACTCAGACCTGGGTGTGATTCAAATCGATTAAAATCCTTTTTTATTCACTGATATTATTTAACGATATAAATCTGGCGTTGTGAAAGAGTTCCTCTGTTCTCGGAGATGTTAGTGGTGGTGATCTAGCTCCACATCCCATTTCTGAAAATGGAGTTAACTAAATGTAGATCTAGATTGAGGTGATGTTGGATATGCACGCATGCTTGCCTTATACGCATTACTCTTTTTTTTTTTTTTTTTTGGTGGTTTCTTAGTCAAGCGTTCCCATTTGGTTGTAAAAAACCATGGAGTCAGTCGTAGCCTGTTTCAATATTACCCACGTTGGAATAATGTTTTTATTCGTGCTCATACTTGGAATAATGTTTATACCCTTTGGTATTTTTTTCCTTCTAAATTTCAATACTTCTGGGCAGGATCTGCTGGTATCGGATTTACTCCTCATGTTATCACGGTTAAAGCTGGAGAGGTATCATTCTATCGCTTCTCTGTTGGTGTGATGTGTAAATTTGCCTCTGCATCTTGCTGATATTGTTCATCGATGTTCATATGGCTGTGGTAATTGTGAGATAATGCTTGATTCGCCGTTCTCTTGGTAGAAGTTCTGACCATTTTCATGGTTTCTAATTTTCATTTTTTTTTAAATATTTTAATATATTTCAATTTACTATGTGGCTTTATAAATTCCAGGAATGCCTGGCTGGAAGTGCCAGGTGGCATCTTCTTCTTCTTCTTCTTGTCTCATGGCTGCTTGGATTTATTTCCCTTTTTTCTTTTTTAAATGAATTACTCACTCAGTTACGTTAAATGCTACTGACCCAAAAAGGAAGATATATCAGCCCATAAATGGATGGTTGCAGCAGAAACCTGGTGAGGGGAAAAGCCACCAGTTGTGCCAGAAACAGAAATATTTCCACAGCAATCATCTCCTTCTCTCTTTGTCCTACCTCGGATTTAAGTATATCCCATCCGCTCAGCTACGCCACCAAAAAGCCTTTTAAGTTGCTCCATGCAGGAAGATGAACACCCATGATCGCTGTATCTCCTCCAAGATTTGCTTCGAGTTCAAGTTCCTATCATTTGGGTTCCTGAAATCAATGGAGTGCAATGCCGTTTACTCTCTCTCTCTCTTCCACTGGCGACTAGGGATGGGAATAAGTTATACATAATCTGATGCGTATCTAATTTCTGCATTTTATTTGGACGAATCGTAACCCCTTGGGCCTTAACCCGTGGGAAGTGGCTGGCCTTCAGATCGCCATCATCTTGTCAAATAAGGCTGATTTTACGTATTTTGTGTATGTTAATCCGCTCTTGTAATGCTCTCTTGGGAGACTTGAAGCCCCTTTAGCTCATGAAGGCTCTTTATTTAATTATTTTGTGAAGGCTCTTTATTTATTTTATTATTTTATGTTCTTGAGCTCTGTTTCTTTGGCCTGGTTTTTTGTTTCTTGAAAGCCCATCGGGTCATTTTACAGGATGTGTCTTCAAAGATCATGTCCTTCTCCCAGCACGGCCCCCGTGCAGTCTGCATTCTGTCGGCAACTGGAGCGATATCTAACGTCACCCTCCGGCAGGCAGCGACATCTGGCGGAACTGTGACTTATGAGGTTTTACTAATTCTGTCATTTTCGCTCACTCTCTCTCTCTCTCTCTTGCTGGATTTAAATAAAAACTCTTGAATTCACAATATCCTACATTTATTTTACTGTTCTTTTGTTATGATTTATTAATTTATTCTGTGGGTGCAAACAGTATCCTGTAGAAAAAGATATATATATTTTGTTTATTCTCCAGATTTTATAAATCTTCTTGGATTCATGATATCCCACTTTCTCTCATCCTTTGTCATCATTTATGATTTTAATTTTAGGAAAAAAATAATTTTATTAATTTCAATTTGTTTCGCAGTTTTATTCTGTGAACCCATCTTAAATCATATATTCTCTCTCTGCAGGGCCGCTTTGAGATCTTGTCGCTCTCTGGTTCGTTCCTCCTCTCAGAGAGCGGCGGCCAGCGCGGGCGAACAGGCGGCCTCAGCGTCTCCTTGGCGGGGCCCGACGGCCGGCTCTTGGGGGGTGGAGTCGCCGGGCTTCTCACTGCAGCTTCCCCTGTGCAGGTTCCTCTCAAGCCCCATCTTAATCTAATGATGGAGAAAGAATTCGTCTCTATTGGATAAATAATTCCCCTCACTGCAGCTTCCCCTGTGCTGTGGCTCTCTCTCTCTCTCTCTCTCGCTAGATGTTCTTCAGTGTGCTGAATGAGGAGCCCATTGTGCAGGTGGTTGTTGGCAGTTTCATTATTGACGGGCGAAGGGAGCCCCAGCAGGTGAAGCCCCAAGAGCCCACACCCTCTCTAGCTGAGATGGCCCCCAGGCCGGTGGCTGGTGGCGGCGGCAGCGCAGCGGGTGAGCCGTTGCATACGGTGGCGGGCATGGCGGATCATGGCGGCGACCAGCAGGGATTGCCTAGCGTGCAGTGGACGTGAAAGACTCTCGATCCATTGCTTGTTCACGGGCAAGACCTTGGTCAATCCTCTGACTTTCCCTCCTCCTCAAGGGTGTTGTTGTATCAATGGTATTAATGGTGTGTTCTTATTTCTTGGCTTGTAATCTCTCATCCCCGGTTGGATTTGAGTGGCTGGTAAGTGGTGGGCTTGGATTTTCTAAGATCCTTTTATCTCTCTAGACTTCTGTTTTCTCTGAAAATTTGGGTGTTCAACGCTGTGGAAGCGAACCCTTTTCCTTTCTTTCTCAAGACCAGGCCCACCCCTCCTTCAACGCATCGCACAGCACAGCAACTGCCCAAAATGATGTATACATATGTACATATAGTGAGATTGAGAGAGAGAGAGAGAGAGAGAGAGAGGAGCTGATAATCTTTCACAAAACTCACATAGTTTACACTTCTCGTAAACTGAGAAGATTAAGGAGAGGAAGACGAAGGACCCAAGTGGTTGAACTCTCAGGGATCTCTCTTAAAGAAAAGAAACTGACGTGGTTGATCCCCCAAAAAATTAATCTAATATACGTAGAAGCTGGTTGATGGAGGGAGGGGGGAGAGAGAGAGAGAGAGTTGACGCTGGTCCCCTCTCTCTCTCTAGGAAAACTCGATTTAGTTGTCTTCTCTTAAACCGAGAAGATCAAGAAGAAGGAAGAGGGAGGACCCAAGGCTCAGGGTTCACTTCCTCCGTTTAAAAGAAACTGAAGTGGTTGATCCCGAAGCCGCTGCTGCCGCCGCCGCTGCCGCCGTAGCCACCGGCGGCGTAGGCGTTGAGGAGGATCTCGTTGTGGGCGGACCATAGCTCCGCCTTCAGGCCGCTCCTCCTCAGGCTCTTCAGGATCTTGTTCCTGTGGGCGCACCCCGTCACCACCACCTTCTGCGTTGTCCCCTCCACCTCCACCTTCTCAATCCCTGCGGAGTTGGCGATCGCACCTCTAATTCCCCCGTTCAGGAGAGAGAGAGAGAGAGAGAGAGAGAGAGATCTTACCCTTGATCTTGGAGAGACACCTCCTCACCCTCTTCTCGTGAATCGCCACCATCTCCACCTTCAACTCCACCGTCTGCGTTTCCGCGGAAACCCAGTTTTGGTTAGAGTGAGAATAAGAGTTGGAGAGAGGAGCGGAACACGTAGGGCGGGTCTTGGCCCGGCAGAAGCCATGACAGAGAAACCCCCCTCGATCGGAGAAGAACCAGACGTTCTTAGGCCCCCCCCAGGGCCCATGTTCTCCCTCCATCTCCGGAAGAGGACACGCTGTCCTTTCCGGAGATCACAAGCACCCATAAGAGCGAAGAATCTCAGAGATGAGGAGAATGAATAGAGTGAGAGTGAGAGAGAGAGAGAGAGAGCGAGAGAGATGGCGGAGATCTCATCCTCACCTCCATAGAGAAACAGGAAGAAACCGATGACGGCCCGCGCTAAAAAGAAGAAGAAGAAGAAGACGAAGAAGATGGCGACTAAGGGATTGAGGGGCCGCGGAGGAAGAGCAGCAACAGCGAGGGAGCATCGACGGGGTGGAATGTCGGCGGGCGGCTGACTGTTGCAGTTTCATTTCGTGTTGTTATATACCAGAGAGTCGGGGAAGAAGACGAAATGTAAAATGCTACATGAATCCTCGTAATAATATTAATTTATAGTGTACCCTTTCATCGCTAGGGAGAGTGGATATTTTTACAAATGTATAAATGATAAGGGTATTGATGATTGTCCGAAATGTGGGCCGTGGCGCGAGGAGGATCTAGCGCGAAGTCCGAGGTGGGCAGGTGCTGACGAAAGCGAAGATCCACTGGCTGCCGGTGGTGATGAGGGTTTGACGAGTCCAACCGCGCTTTTCTTTTCCTTTTTTGGGCTTCGGGTTTCGGGTCTGTCCAGCCCGGCCCAACCTCGAATGAAACAGTTGGGAATGTCCGAGTCCAGTCTGCAGGGGGGAGGGGGGGGGGGAGAGAGAGAGAGAGAGAGAGAGAGAGAGAGAGAGAGAGGGAGGGATAAAGGAAAAGAGGAGGCGAGCACACCTAGGAAACAGGAACAGGGTTATATGGATTACGGTGCAAGTTTGGTATTGAGAGAGAGAGAGAGAGAGAGAGAGAGCCTTTAGGTGAGATTCACGTGGCATTTTGTAAGTCCGCGTTTGAGTAGGGAAAGGTCTAGAGAGAGAGAGAGCTTTAGTAGACTTGAAATCTACGTGGCACCTAGTAAGGTCAGTAGCATGGATCGGGCTGTCCTACCTACCATCTTTCAGATAGAAAATGGGTCAAGATAAGAAAGAGAGAGAGAGAGAGAGGGGCATTTGTATAGTTGAAGTCCACGTGGCATTTCGTGAGGGAGTAGGATCGATCGGGTCTGTACTTACTACCTACTGTATGTGAGGTGGAAGATGGGTAGAGAGCGGACTTGTAGATTTTGAAGCCTACGTGGCAGTCCTTTGACCGAATGTATGGTTTGCCACGTGGCGTGTTGTGTGTTAGTAGTAGCCCTGACGGTATCTTGTACGGTCTATGACGTGGAAAAAATCCGCCGGGAGATGCCAAGCGAACGGTCCAATCGATAGTTCCTTCGTTGGGTGTCGGGAAAAACTGATACCTACCCACTCTTCCTTTACGTCAACCCCGAGAGCGAGAGCGAGAGCTAGAGAGAGAGAGAGAGAGAGAGAGAGAGAGAGAGAGAGAGAGATCTTAGAGACAAGAAGCAAGGAGTCCTCTCTCTCTCTCTCTTGCTCTTCCTTTCTGGCGGAATGGAATCCCTCCCACCTCACTCCATCTTGGTTCCCAGTAGACCCCATTGCTCCTGTCTTCCCCTCCATTGATTCAACTCCACCGAAAGAACGTCAGATCGGTGAGAAGCGGCTAAGAAGGAAGGGGTGGATGTGTTTACATGGAAGTACTCAGATGAAGTCAGAGAACCTCCGGTTTTCTGGAGGCATGGTGCTGCGGATGAAGGTGACGGCGGAGAGGTTCCTGCAGGAGATGCAGGATTCAGGAGAGATTCATAAAGGAGAGGGAGATAGAGAGCCACGTGAAGGAGAGAACGCTCACCGAATGCTCACGTCATCATGTGAGGAGAAGGGCAATTTTTTTCGATAATTAGAAGCTAAGAAAGAAAAAATTATTTTCCGTGGTGAATAAAATGGTTACAACCGATGGGATATAAGAGAACACATTCAAAAATGTTAGTTTTCGGATATTTCCCTTATACATATCATTTTTTGTGGCACCCTTAAAAATCTTAATATATGAACCATTTAACTAAAATTGTTTATCCTAAGATGTTAAATTTTTTTAGAAATAATTATGTTAATCTCATTCATTTAGCATTTCCAGATTGTCCATGAATAATATTAAAAATTTATAAAAGTGAGATAATTCCCATTAGTGGTTATTTTAGGTTGAGATTAATTGAAGAGAATCAAGAATTCAGACAAAAATGAAAGGGCAGCAGTGAGTTCAATCAAGAAAATAACATCATTTTTGCGGCAGCCATTGATGGTGAGTAAATATTGATAAATACCTTCAAGATGAGTAAATAACTTGTCAAAGTTTGATAAATACTGATCAAGCTCAATTTCAATTTTCATTTTAAATAAATAATTATAGAGCTGATTACAGTTAAAAAAATTTACATGCATGATGTGTTCTTTAGAGTTTGTACCCACAGGACTTTTCTTGGGCTTCCAATCCTTCATTTTGTATTTTCTAAATAATTATCTTGCATACTTCTCATGATAAATGAAAATTCTATTTTCTAATTATTTAATTTTCAAGCCAAGAAATACATTTAATTCACTCATCATACTCATTTTAAATTCATTCTTCATTAGTGAGGAGAATTTATTACAAAATACTTCATCACTTGCTTCAAATATAATATCATCAACATATAGTTACACAATGAAAATATCATTTTCTTTTTACCAAATAAAATAAAGTTGTATCAACATTTTCTCTTTGAAATTTTTTTTCTTATAATAGTGAGCTCAACTTTTCATACCAAGCTTGTTGAGCTTGCTTTGATCGATATAGTACTTTCTATGTCTATAAAAATGATTAGGATAGTTTGAATTTAAGAAAAACTCTTAACATCTATTTGATATAATTTAAACTTATCAACACAAGTAAATAGAAGTAAGATTCTAATAGCATCAAGTCTAGCTACCAATGTTTCGTCAAATGAAATGTTTACGACTCTTAATTATGTCTTTAGAGTTTCTTTCTTTACAAAGTTATGATACATTTCATGTAAGATTATTTATTATTTAATAATATGTATACTTAATGAAAAAAAATAGTTTTTTTTTTTAAGGTTTACAAGTTAGTTCTAAAAAATAAAATCTTGAATTCTATCAAAAAATTGTTGTGAATAGATCTATTGTCCACATCCTTTTGTAATGAGATGCTCTTGTTTATGAATAACAACTTGTAACTCATATCAATTGGAGAAATTGAAAGAAAAATGGTACTATATTGTTAATTCAATACTTGAACACTTTAGTTGAAGTCATAAATTATGCAAATAAGATTTTTAATCACAAATGATCTAGGGTTGTGTTAAATAATAAATTGTGTTAAATATTTCGAAATTTAGGCATGTCTTGTAAATTCTAAAAGGGAAAGAACAAGAAAAGAATACTTGGATGTAGCTATTTTTTTTATCAGTTGCATACAAAACATCACTATAATAATTTTTCTTGTGATGAAAAATAGTCTTTTTAAAAAAAAAATGACTAATCGAATAATGGATGAGTTCAAAGCTGAAATACCAATATAGAATGCAGGTAATAAACACGATATAGAATTTCTACATGTATTCTCATTTTCCTAACATCTCTTTATTTATAGTTGTGTTCACCCAACATGCTTTGCATCATTTAGAAATATGTCAAATCTATGTAGAGACTGGCTTTCAAAGTGATGACCTAGATGAAGAAACCTACGTAGATCAACTCAAATGGTTCATTGCTGTTTGAAAAAGAATATTTTTTTAATTAAATATTTTCTGACCTAAAACATATATTTAAATAAAAAATGAAAATTTGATAAAAATATTTTATTTAATAGTTTTGTTTATACTTAATATGATACAATTATATATTATATTCGATGAATCTAGGAGGGTAAGTTGTTTTGATGGTGACAATATGATAATTTCACAATAGGATAATTTTGTGTATTGACGATCTAGACCACTAATTATTGAAGAAACTTAATGCCACAATCTTAGGCAATTTGAAACTCATTGGAAAGATAATTCCAACATGAATAAAATACAATAAGCCACAAATATAAATGTAAACAATTTAATTTATTATGATTTCAAAAATATTAATTTGTATTTATGAATTTAAATTCAAGTGAAGACATGAGTGTTGCAAGTGAATTTTGAGCAGCCTATTACGTTGCTTATAAATAAGAGTACTTTATTTTAATTGAAAATGAGCTTGAAATAAAGGAAAGGGAGCATGACAATTAAGAGAAAAATATAGTGAAAAAGGTACTGTATCCATCACATTTCTCTGAGGAGTCTAAGCCTCTTTGTTTTCATTGAGCACCAAGAACCATTGTAGATTAGCTACTACTCAAGTGTTGTAATGACTACATCATGCTAAATGTTCTTTAATGAAAAATCAAATGATTGAAGCCTTTGTGAAGTAAGGATTTGCAGGCCAAGAACAATAGTTCATTCTATATTACTACTTAGAGTGCATGAGTACTCAAAGCCCTAGGTCTCCTATGTTAGTGAATTTATTTTCGTAAATCTATAAGATGTTTCATCGATGTCATTCTAAGTTGATTAGACTTATTAAATCTGTTAAAAGGTGGATGAAGCTTGTGAAGATAGTAGAACCTAAGTGTGTGAGATCATATGGGGTGGGTCAAGTGACTGAACAAGAAGTGACTAAACTTGTGGATCAAATACTTTTTGTGATATTTAGATTCTATAGTCACATTAAAGATCAGGAGCAAAACAAAACTTAAAATTACCTAGGTTTCACCCCCTCCACTCTTGTTGACATACTATCATATAAAATCCAGCATAAAGTTGAGAATGATGCAAGTGTCACTTTTTAATTGTATGGTAACAATTTATTCATATTTGGATCAAATCTTGAAGTAATTTGGTGAAGGCAAATTCATTTTATTGGCACCTTTCTTAAAGGAAGACTTGGCTCTTGTTTGTCTAATATCAATATGATGATGTGCTTAGTCAATCTCATTACACATAATTTTTTTTGTATATCTTGTTGCTTAATCACTTTCTTGAGCCCTTTTATGTGGATTGTGCGTCCAAGCATTTAAACATTATTTGATACTTATGCAGCCCATTGGACTGGTGCTGCACATACATGCAAAGTTGTAGTGGAGCAATTTCACACGTGGATGTGTGAGAACTG